AAGAGCGGTGCTCAGTCGAAGTACTTAGAAATAATAAGATATTTCTTTCTACCGGGGTTTCCCAAAATGTATTCTATGGAAACTGGCTCTAGGAGGTATCCAGAGAAAAAGGGGTTCAGTGGTCAAATATTTCAAAGGCACTGAGAAGTCTTGAGAAAAGAAATCGGATTCATTTTATTTACCCTGTTACTTCCTAAACTTATTAGGATACAAATTAGTTTTTTTCTCTAGAAACTATATTCCAAGTATATTCCAAGATCTAGTGTTTTCTGGTCACACTGGGAGATACTGAGCTGGTTTTAAAAGTGGGGAGCTGTGGCATATAATTAGTAAACAGGTATTTTTAAGGCAGGCAGACAACCTGCAAGTCTCAAGAAAAATTTCACTGAAGTTAAATTCACTTTGACATAATTTGCCCTCCTACATCATTTGGTATTGCTGACAACATCTAAATGGCTGAACAACCAAGCTATCCAACAAAATAAAATAGGATTCTTGTGACTTCCATTCCACAGTCGTGTCACCTGGAGCACTGGCCCCCGCTCAGAACTCTGAATTATATATGCAAACTTAAGGTTTTCATTACAAAAGCCATGGATACAATTGGAAAATCCAGGCAAGAGTCTGGAGAACCACTATTCTGACCCTCTCTCTTCAGAGGCTACCTGAGGGTATCACTAAAGCCAACGAGATTCTGAATTTAGGGGTCCATTATTCCATGTCATTCCTGGAAACTAAGCATAGTTCTTGGAATCAACCTTCAGAGTCTTAAAAATCTGATCAGAATTTTCAGAACATTCTAATCACTCCTCCAGTGTTACAGCCTGCTACTGTGACTTAAACTGAAAAACTGTCCTGTGAACAATGATATGAGCTGCCTTCATGGCTCATACAACATGATTTCCTCAGGCTTTCCATGTGCAGATTGATTCCAAAAGTGAGGGTTTCTCACTCTGTACCTCTCCCACAATCTCTCAGCTTTCACAGAACATACTTCTTCAAGAAGTTGTGGGGTTCTACCAGTTACTGTAGTTCCTTTGCTCTGGATGTGAAGGCATATCATACAACTTGGCAGAGGTCAGCACTAAAAGGATTAAAAGATAGGAATGGGTGATGCAAATCTGGCCAGCCAGGGTGGTGACATGCTGAAAGTTCCCAGAAGTTAGGAAATTGTGTTTCTTAACACAGTTCTAAGGGCTAGGGTTGACAGACTGGGTTTAGGCACACAATTTGCAAAAGACAAGGGCTTATTTTCAAGGTGGCGGATTTAACTTCCAATCTTTCTACATCTGGTCTCTCTAGACTAAAAATTCACAATGAAAGGAAAGGCCAAATCTTAGGCTCCAAGGCTACATTTTGAACCACTTACCTCAACTTCCACCTTTGTGAAGGGCTGGCAGCAAGTGAGCACACAAAGTTGAATGCTGAAGAGAAAAAAAGAGAAGGCCATCTTTATGTGGTAATGCAAGTACCATCTAATATTACTGAACAATCTTTTCTTTACATACAAGCAACCCCATGTCACTCTTTGTATGTATTCTGCATTTATAAATGCCACACTGTAGCTATTACACTTCTTGGGTTTAGAGAACTATTCTTGATATTCAAAAGTTAAATTGCTGAATGCAATACCAAATATGTATTTGTAGGTCAGAGCCACAGCTCAGCAGACTAAACCTCAAATTTGAAGTCTTCTTGACAGCTAAGACTCATAGGCCTAGAGAAACTAACCATGGTCACATTTTAAGGTACATTAATATGTTTATAAAAAAACTGCTGAGTAGAACATTACATTACTAAATTCTTTTCTAATATTAAAAAAAAAAACAACAGTGGGCCTTTCCTTAAAAGCAGAAACTTTATCATCATTGTCCCAGTTATTAATAAATGTTTTAGCTATGGGGAAATTTTCTGAAAAGTTTCAGATTTCATTGTAAAGCCAGACAAATGCTTTCTTTTTGTTTTGTTTTGTTTTGTTTTTTTGTGGTACGCGGGCCTCTCACTGCCGTGGCCTCTCCCGTTGCGGAGCACAGGCTCCGGACGCACAGGCCTGGCCTCCATGTCTCACCAGCCCAGCTGCTCCGCGGCATGTGGGATCCGACAAATGCTTTCTTTTTGTTTTGTTTTGTTTTGTTTTTTTGTGGTACGCGGGCCTCTCACTGCCGTGGCCTCTCCCGTTGCGGAGCACAGGCTCCGGACGCACAGGCCTAACGGCCATGGCTCATGGGCCCAGCCACTCCATGGCATGTGGGATCCTCCTGGACCGGGTCACGAACCCGTGTCCCCTGCATTAGGCAGGTGGACTCCCAACCACTGCGCCACCAGGGAAGCCCGACAAAGGCTTTCTTTAAAGTGGTTATAATCAATCTTCTCAAAGATAATTTTTGAAATGGTTCCTACTTGCAGCTTTCCAGTGTATATTTAGACTCTCTGGATAAGATTTCTATGGGATTTTTATTTCGCCTCATGTAGACGGATGACCCAGAAGTCAGGCAGGGTAAATTAGACTCTACATGTTTAAGAAAACAACCAACCAAGCTTTTTTGCTATTAAGAAATTAAAATATGATTTACCTGTAAAAATTGCTTGAAGGGACTTACTTAAGACAAGGAATTTAGGAATTTAAACAAGGAATTTACTTAAAATAAGGAATTTAGGAAACAGGTTTATTAATTCCATAATTAATTATAAATTGTTAACGTGTCAGTTCTCATATCTTCTGTTTGAAAGGGAAAGAATCTTTTACTATCAACTCCAAGCCACAAAGCCAATCCATATTATCTATCATTAAGTAAATTGTTCTTTAATGATTTAAATTGAGCTTTGGAATTCAATGACTTGAATACATATTTTGTTCTGAAAATTCTGAATGCTGTTAAAGAAAAACAAAACAAAACACAAATGAAACCACACACAAGATCTCTTTAAACTTGACTTGCCCACACTACAGACTAACCAAACAACACTTCTTAGACTGACATAAAACAGCTTTTCCAAGGCTTTCCCTTCTTGATGGCTAGTCCCTGAGTCTCCTCTCCCCTAGGACATCTGCTTTGGTGTAAAATCCCTTCCCTAGATCCTGAATCAGAGTAGTACTTGGAGCCAGCGCAATTGAGAAAACTGATTTAGAAGTAAGAGACACAATGCTAAATATAACATGCAGATCAGAAGATAAAGGTGGAAACGAGAGGTTACCACACGTGTGATGTGGCACTTGGCTATAACAACGTTGTATCTTTAGAAGATTTTGTGTTTGCTTATAACCTAAGAAATCTTTAACTCTGAAAATACTTTTTTTCCTCTCTTTCTTCGATGAATTCTATTTTTCCCCCCTCTGTCACACATTTCTCAGGTTAGAGCCTAGATTAACTCAACCACTCTATTTACCCCTGATCTCCCTTCCAGAAGAGCTTCCTATTTGACCTTCACATCCACCAGCCCAGCTGCAAAACCAAAAAAAGTGACAATGAACCCAAAGTCCCTATCTCTATGAGGACTTAACTTGTAAAGGCCCCAAGGATGACACACCTCTGGAAATATAAATATGTTATCCCCTCAATTTTCAGGCACTTCTTTTTCTAAAATGCTCTCATACTACTTGTTTCTCCTACTTTGCCCTTGTATAGAAGTTGAAAACCAGGAATTCGTAATTAGTAATGACAGGAAATATGTATCCTAGCCAAGGGAATAGACTGATTTCCTGTAGGGTTAAAGATAGCATAATGTCTAGATACCTTTTACAATTTATGTTCCTTATTTTTGGTGTTGTTTACTTAACTTCAACTACCAGGGACTGAAGTATAACAGGAACATAAATGTCTCAGGCGTATCAATGTTTATTAACACATGTAATTGGCCCATCTATTCTGATTTAAATGTATCATTTCAAAGCAACTTACATACACAAAAAAATTGAGAAAAAAAGTATGTTGTAGTTAAAAAAAATCTAATTTTCAGAAGTTGTTTGGATTGTCTACAATGTACTTGAAGGCAAATGATGATTTCTTTTAAATATTTCCAAGTGATTGTCACCTATCCATCAATAATTTGAGCTCTGTGTATAACAGTATCAAAAGGCATTACTTCATAAGTCCTGGGAAAGTCCTTAAATCCAAAATATAAACAGGCTGTCTTTTAAAAAATTTTTTAAGTTTGGGGAAGGTTTATTTTTATTTTTTTCTCTTCTGCCACCCAAAGCCAGCCAGGTTCCTTGAGGTGAACATAGAGGGATGTCGACACTCTCCATGCAGGTAAAGGACCAAAGGAGGCACGTAAACAGGCAGGGGAGCCAAACAAAAGAACTTCTTGAGAGAAAGTAAGATTCTACATGTTCTGCTCTTTTTAAAAGGTCTATTTCACTTCAGCTAGCTTAACAGAAACTGTATTCTTCTCTTCAACATTTATAGAAACTGCTGATCCCTAGGCTCTTAAAATCCAAGAGTGGAAGTGAAAGCTTAGTTAGCTATTTCCTCAACTCATATCAGACACATCACAACTATTTCAGGCCATATGACTAAACTGCTCTGGACTGTTTAAACGAATACAGTAAAATAAAGATGGAGACACCAGATAATGCTAAATTTGCAATGGGAATGAAACTACAAAATTTAAGCTAAGTAGGATGCAAATGAGATCACTGGAATGTTTCTTAAGAATTGGTAGATAAACACTTGAGACCCATTAGAACATGACAAACAACTAGAATTCTGCACATGGCAGACACTGGGGTTTAATGGGCAAGATAGTTATGCTCTCTACAGAAACTTCTCAGTTACAAGATTTAAGGAACTGATTAGAAATCCTTACTTCTACAAAAACAAGGCTTTTTTTTTTTTTTTAAAAAAAAGAACAAATTCTTTTTCTTCACTCGAATAAAATTTATATAAACTAATAATAATATAAGCGACTTACAATGTATATCCTTGCCAAGTCCATGTTACAGTATCCTAGAATAACAATAGTATTTAAACTGTTAGTTCAGAGAAAAAATACCAAATAAAACAAAAATTTTATTTTGATACTGAATATACTTTCTTTCTGAATTAAAAGCTATATGCTGAAAAGTAAGACAAGCATACTATTATTGTTAAACAAGAGTGAACTGATCTCTAAATTCTTGAATCACATACCTACATGGCAAAGATCTGTCTCCCATATGTAACCACCTATCTTTTTATGGAATTAAGTTGCTTTGAATTTTTAAAAAAACTTGTGCATGCTTAACTATTTTTCTCCTAATATGAACATATCTGGATAATTAATTGGCTTACAAAACCCAGAATACCTCAGTTCTTAAAAAAAAAAAGTTTATTTGGGGAAAAAAGACTACAGTAGTGAGGCAGTGCACAGTGAAAGAACTGAGTAAATGACAAATGCAAACCCACAGGTAGAAGTACGCTGAGTAAAAATTTGATGAATTTTAATTTTTTAACTGCAAGTGTCCAAGGTTGAGAAATAAGCCACTGATAGAAAGTTGAATTGATTAAGAACTCAATCTTAAATGACACAGATCATTAATAATTACATCCTGCCTTTTAATGTAAATTCTCTAGTAAAGAAAGAGTCTACCTATCTGCTCCCACCATTTATCTATTCATCTATTTTATTTATTCAAACAAAAGGGGTCCTAGAGAATTTGTGCTGTTTGGAATGTTGAGATTCTTCCCATAGTAAACTACGACGCTTACCAGCTTGTTTGGGTATCTGAGGAGAACTGGCTGCACTGGAACTCCTGGAATGAAGGCCCCTATAACCACATAGTGAAATTTTCTAACATGCTCTTTATATGAACACAAACTTTACAGTGAATTAAAAAATTAATAATAAACGATGTAAATATGTTAAATGTTTTAAGAGTACATATAAACTATTGGCTAAATGTTGGTAAATCCCTAGTGTTAGTCAAAATGACAGATTTTTGAATTCAGAATTATGTAAGCAAAATATTAAATGTTATGTCTAAGTCACTTAAAATATTACTTATATCTCCATTTGTTTTCATTTGCCAAATACCTATTATTCAACAGGATTAAAAAAAAAACAGTAATGATAAAAACCAAGACAAAGAGAAAATAAAGAGAAGAAAATCTAGTTGAAAGCAAATGCTTGAACCCTAAACTATCACACTTGCTAGAATTGAGTTCTAACTTTGGCTCTGAGCATTCTAGCAGCCAACACAAAAACATTTTAAACTATTAATAATTACTATGAAATGACATATGAAATTACAAATTACTATAAAATTCACAACTTCATAATATATATGTATATATATATATATATATATATATATATATATATATATATATATATATATATATTTTTATCGCCATGGCTCACGGGCCCAGCCGCTCCGCGGCATGTGGGATCTTCCCAGACCGGGGCACGAACCCATGTCCCCTGCATTGGCAGGCGGACTCTCAACCACTGCGCCACCAGGGAAGCCTTCATAATATTTTAAAAAGGAATGAACCTTAGAAGGAACTGAAGGCATTTTAATGATAATTGAAGTAGGTTTTCTAACTTGATGACACAGGACCCCAAGTGTCTGTGAGGGTTATCTGTGGAGGAAAAGAAAAATCTGCTAGTGGCTTCTGCTCAAACACACACACACACACACACACACACACACACACACACACACACACACAGGACATTCCAAGGAAGAAGGGGTTATGATACCAAAAGAGAAAGCAAAGGAGTGAGTTCTGTGGATCTACATCATTCAAAACATTTTATCAGAAAATAAGAAATGCTCCAAGCAAACTGACAAGTTATTTTGTATACTTATTATCAGATCATTGAGAAATCTTCCATACTACTTTGTCACAATACATAATTTAATTGATCTCACCTGGTTTAAAAGTAATCAAACAGGAACGATTAGTACAAGTACCTTCTGGGAAAACTAGTATCTTGGGAGAAAAGGAATAGATTTAATATTTCAGTCTAATTAATAGATTAGCTCTTTACTTGCTTTCTTAAGACTTTGCAAATAGTTGCCAATTTTTATAAAGCAAAAATAAAATAAAAGGCTAACACCTGATTCTAGTGAAAGCTAGAATCTGATTATTCAGTTTTGCTCTAAAAGAAGTATAGTCTGACCATTAAGATAACTAGAAAATGAATTAAAGCTTTGAAGAGAGAATACACATAGTAAATATTTCTTAATGATGATGCTAATGATCTGAATAGGCTTCGAAGAAGATGTAGACCCTGAATCATGGTCAAAGTGTGCATTTTAGGCAATATTAAATGCTTTCTTCTACTGCTGTACACCCTTAACCAAATCATTTCCTACTTCTTTGTTTCAGTTTTCCCATTAAATGATATTCCCTCTTACAACGTATAGCTTTGGGACGTACTGAGAAAAAAGGAGGAAATGCCTACAATATGCTTTATGCTTACTTCAGTTCGTTGACATGTGGAATACAATTTAATGTCCTTTTTTGAGGAGGTGTTTTTAGCTTTTAATGTACTTCTTTATGTTTTTCACACAAAAGATATGCAGTACAGCTCCTCATTAACTGAACAGCATAGCAGCTTCATTTTTCTGAAGCTTTTAGAATTTAGCAATGAGTAAATTCCTAGGCACATAAAACAAAAAAGAAAATCCCTGCACTAACAGCAGTTAGTAATGGGTATTTTATAATAATTAGAGGAGGAAAACATTATTAAGCTAAATTGTCACAATAACAAGTTATTTGTACAATAAAAATTGTGAATAGGTGCAGTTCCATCCTCCAATTAAAAAAAAAACCAGGTTTCCTACCCCAATCGGATACAATATCAAATATGATTCATGGAGTGGATATTCTATATACTATGAACAATAAATTAATATAGAGTAAATCATAAAATCTCAAGAACTGGATGGGGCATTAAAAGTCATATAGCATCTCTAATGCTTGAATTCTTTTTACAATATCCCACCCAATTTGTTGCTTAGCCAGTGCCTGAACATTCCGGAAAGAGATTCCAAATCAGACCATTCTAATTCTGGACAGAAAACTTGAGATGAGCAAAATGAACTGAAATCTACCTACTTGTTAACTTTCACCCACAAGTCCTAGATACATTCCTTGGAGACAAGAGCAAAGTCACACCCTTATTCCAAATGTCATTTCTTCCCAGTGACTTTTTAAATCATTCCTTACATGCCTTGGTTTCTAAAACCTCCTGGTTGGTCATATGCCTCTTGGTACTTTAACAACTACAAATCACCATGAGTGGCCAGATCACCTCAGGACCATGAGTTCTGCTAGAGATCACTTGTTTTCACCTGGGCAAAGATAGAGGGGTACTTATCAGAATCACCCATGAGGCTCCATTTATGCAATAAATGTTGCCCCTTCCACACCTTCGAAAAGCATTCCAGGGGAAGGCGGTGGTGGGATGGTAAAACGTGAAAAAGTTCTACAGGTGATTCTGATATGCCCCTGAACTAAAATGACTGTCTAAATACACTTCAGGTAAACTTAAGATTTTAATCATTTTCAAAATAAACCCACCATATTGTTGAGTATAACTGAGCTTCAGTATCTATCTCATCTTTAAAAGGATAAATAAATTCAGAGGTAGAGAATTACTTTTTATGACACAAAGTAAAACCCAGTTCAAAGAGTTTGGAGAATAAAAAAGAATGATACATTTAATTCCACAGAGTATCTCATGGGGAAGAGGACTTTTTAATCCTCACTCATTTATTCTGCTTCTAGACATCTAGCAGAAGGTGTCCCCCAGTATTGGATCTGTGGATCCAAATGAGTATGTATACAAGTGTACAGTAAATAAACTTTCAATATATTTAAATAAACATCTACTATGTTTTACCTGGGGCCATTCCCCTCCTGATGCGGCCCGCCTTATTATTTCATTTATTGTGTTTTTTCGAGAATCTGGATCTACACGGGACACCAACACTGGTTGCAGAGCCCGCAAGATTCCTTTAAAACAAATGAAAAGTCACAACTAAGTCATTTTGGGGGCTAAAGCTAACTACAGCAATGACACCAGATAAGTCATAAAACAAATTGTATGGAAAATTAAAATGATAGCAAATCAAAGAGAACAACTTAAAAAAGCCCTCTAATTCAAAGTTTATTAGAACTTAGCTTCCAGTTTCAAAAGGATAGGTGGATATTTAGACCTAAAAATATTTCACTGATTTAACAGAAGTTAGCAGCAGGAATATGAAAAGAAGCAAATGCAGTTTTCTCCCTAAAAGACTTCTTCCTCAATTGACATTAAACATTTGGAATATACTATAAGATTATCTTGTTTTATTTCAGGAATATCCTGCAAACCGATTATGTGAAGTCGTAGTACATGTGGGTAGGAGGCAATTATTATTTATCTTACTAAAATTTTCAGCGCAATAGTCTTTTAAGTAGGTAGCTTCCTAGCGCATGCAAAATAAACCTCAATTTACCAAAAGACTATTGCTAAACAACTCTTGGGGAAAATGTCATATTACACAAAGCAAGGTGGTTACCTTAAAAAAAAGAGAGAGAGAGAGAGAGAGAGAGAGAGAGAGAGAGAGTCTGTCTTTCTTAGATGAATGACAAAGCTGTAAGAACTACTATTATTTCTCCAGAGTACCAAGGCAACATCAGGCAGTTTTCACAGGCACTTTCTCACCACTTGATGCTTGGCAATAACCTTGGGACAACTGGTAGCAGTTACTTGGAGACTAATCCCCTGGGGAGAGAGCAAAGCATCTGGTGGGAAAAACATTTCACTTGCTTCATTATTTTTTATGGCAGGAAGCATTAATTGTTCCACATCATAATTTTCAAAGAGTTACACATTGGTCCCTCTTGGAGATCTGGGCAATAATGAAGAAAACAGAGTTAGGAGAAAAGACTTAGTGCATTTATTTATCAGTCTAATATCCTGAAGAGAAATTCACTGAAATAGCATGTAACCAGTGCTTTCACAGATTCTTAGATTAAATTCTCTCTCCAAAAAATCTACCATGTTTGGTATTTAAAAACTGTTCTTTTTGGCTATATTTAGGAGCAGAAAGAGGTGATGGTGCAGTGACAGAGTTTAGACTTAAAAAGAATGATAAGGGTACAGATAGGAAGTCTTTAATCTTTTTTCATAAATTCATTCTTGTGATATAGTACCTCATTAAAAGCAAGGAAATATGTTTGAAGTGTTTTATTATTTTAAAGTTTTTAAAAAGCCTACCAATGAACTATACATGATTTTCTAAATTGAAAGCATGAGCATGAAAATATTTTATCTCTGTTATCTTATAAAGTACTTACTGCCAATCAGAGGCACCTGCACATTCTCATGTCGAGATACCATAGAAGGTAACCCAGCCACAACACAGGCAATTCCATCAAAGAATGTTGAATGAGGGGCAACAACAAAAATTGGTGCTTCCACAGGACTTGCGATCTTTCCTTTCACGGTAACTATAAATCCCATTGAAAAGAACATGGCATGGCCTAGAAACTTCAAGACTGGCTGAGTAATTTTCCTTTGGAAATAAATACAAAAAAGGACATAATTAGCTTTGCCAACTGCAGCTAACAGCAGGGTTTTACTCTAAAGCACAATGCAAAAACCAAGACAAGCTGGAGCACTTCATTTTAAAATGTGAGCTAAGAAGAATAGCTCACACTTCAGTGGAGCTCTTTCTGACAGGCACTGTTCTAAGTAATTCATGCATATTAATTTCTTTAATCCTTAGCCCAATTTTATGAAATAGATAGCATTTATTATTATCCCCATTTTACAGACATGAAAACTGAGTCCCAGAGAAGTAATTTTCCCAAGGCCATGTGGCTAATAAGTAGCTCCTTTATTCTGTGACTATAAAGTAATAAGTATGAATCTTCTACATGCATCCACCACTGAGAAATCCAAATCAGTACTGTCCTTCAAAGGAGTCACCTTGGAAATCTATATTTGTGTAACAAGGATGCTGCTACCTCCCAAAACACTTTTAGAACTGGCATGTGGAAATTGTCCTCAGAATTATTTTAGGAATAAAATTTTAAAAGTAAGCCTTATTACCTATATCATTATAGCCCTTAGACATCATCAAGAATCTTAAGAAGTAAATTTACCATCTCACTTCTCTGGAACAAAGAAATTTCAATTCCAGAAATTGAATTGTTTACTCTTTAAAAAGAATCTGTCATTAAAGATTAGTTAATTCATCAAATTGTGCCAGGAATTGTGTTGGACACACAAGACAAGTAAGATCCAGTCTCTGTCCTTGATAAACTCAGTTGAGTAGAGAAACAAAAAAATAGCCCTAGAAGTGCAAACACATGACAGACATCTCAGTATGTGAATAAGCATTATAGCTTTGCATGAAAAATGTCTCCCATAAGACATCCAGTGGGAGCTTTAAAAAATGGGCTTCCTACAGAATTCTCTCAAAATTCACATAATAATATAGTGAGGCGCTATTAAGCAACTAACTCCTGAGGAAGCTTCTCTGAATTTAATTTCACGGTAAGGAGAAGTGAGACACAGAAAACCAAAGAACTTTTCCAGAGGGCACAGGGAAATGACCCATCTCTCCTTGCCCTGTAGTTTAGAGTTGAGACCTCTATTTATTTAAAGATAAAGAGCTCATCCCTTCACAGAATTTCCATACCTCCTATTTTTTATTTTTAGTGACATAGCCTGTAAAAACTATATTCCAAAATATCCTATATTCAGAGTCATAATTGTTGATCACTGACTAAACTTTGACAAACTCTTCTTTATCTTGATTTTCCTAATATTTAGACACAGTTATTTCTTACCTCTTCCAACCAGTTATTGGGTGGGTCAGCTTTTCAGGACAGCATGCTGTTGAAATTGCAGCAAATGGCCACGCCAGTAATAAAATTAATGCAAGGAACAGGGCACGAATTGGAAGCAGGATACTTCCAAGAAAGAAAATCTGAAATCAAAGTTGATGAAAAAAACAGATGACATTATTTTAATGCTGTAGTTATCAAACAGAAATACATAAGAGGAAAATCTTATGCTATTCATGCATTCACTCAAAGATGAATTGGGCATTACCCTATACCAGACAAAGATCTAAGCACAAAGAAAATAAGACATTGTATCTGACCTCACAAAGCCTACAAAGCAGCAAAAGAAAGAGGGAAGAAAACCAAGTACTACCTGATCTGTATATCAATGAATGTGAATAGAGGCTGCTGGGGGAACAAAGAAAAGGTTTGTTGGACTTAGTAGTCAGGGAAAGCTTCCTGGAGGAGCTGAAGCTGAAACCGCTTGCTTTAAGAAGCAAGCAGAAGCTGGCAAGGTAAGAGGGGGAAATAGCTTTTTGAGAGCTATAAGTAGGATGAATATTAGTAAAGGCATTAGAGTGTGAAGAAATAAATGTATTATTTTATATACCTGCCAGTCCTTTATAACTAACAATAAGGAGATGGGGGAGGAAATACAAAAAATAATAAAAACTAAATAAGAATAAGAATAAAAACTAAATAAATAAGAACGGCAAATAATACTGAGTGCTTACTATGTACCAGGCACTCTAAGCACTTGGCATGTAGTAACTTATCTGAGTCTTACAACCTTAAGCTGTTTTACATACAAGAAAGGAGTGGCACAGAGGGAATTAAGTTAAACTGCTTAAGATCACACAGTAAGTGGCAGAACCAGGATTTGAAACCAATGTGGTTATAAAGCTCTTGCTCTTAATCCTATCCCATAATGCCTTTCAAGTGAAATAAACTATCCTTATATATCACAAATTGTCTTCTTTTTTTTTAGCCAATTACACTACTCAAACAGTGCTGCCCTTCTTGTCTCTATTGGCCCGTAATGTGAATCTGAGCATCATCAAATAATTTACGAGAAATGCCAAAAATATTGTAGTTATCAGATCTCTATCAAATTATTTGTGTACATGTGTATGACTGAATTAAAAATTACATACAGGGCTTTCCTGGTGGCACAGTGGTTGAGAGTCCGCCTGCTGATGCAGGGGACGCAGGTTCGTGCCCCAGTCTGGGAGGATCCCACATGCCGCGGAGTGGCTGGGCCTGTGAGCCATGGCCACTGATCCTGTGCTCCGCAACGGGAGAGGCGGCAACAGTGAGGCCCGCGTACCGCAAAAAAAAAAAAATACATACAAGGAAATATACAGATCTTAAATGTATAATTCAATGAGTTTTGATAAATGTGTACTCTTGTAAACATCACCTCAATCAAGATACAGAACACATCTGCCACTCAGAAAGTTGCCTCATACCTCTTTCAGTCAATCCTTATCCTCTTAGGCAACTAATGCTGGATGTTTATCATCATATATTATTAGTTTTGCATGTTCTTGAGTGTCATATAAATGGAATCATACATTATGCATTCTTGTGTGTCTCACTTCCACTTAACATAATGTTTTTGAAATTCAACTATGTTGCTTTTGATGTCAGTAAGTCATTCTTCCTGACTGCAGAGTATTATTCCACTATATGACCATATGACAATCTGTCTATTCTCCTGTTGATGAACATTTGGGCTGTTTCCAGTTGTGGGCTATTATGAATACAGCCACTACAAACATTCTTCTACAAGCCTTTTTGGGAATAGTTGTTTTCGTTTCTTAGGTAAATACCCAGGAGTGGAACTGCTGGGTCATAGATGTAGTTTAACTTTATAAGAAACTGGCCAAACAATTTTCCAAAGTGGCTGTATCATTTTAAAGTGTCACTGATAGTGTATGAGAATTTCAGTTACTGTACATCCTTGCTGACATTTGGTGTTGGTAGTCTTTTATAAAAATCAATTTTACTAAGGCATAATTTACATAAAATAAAATGCACCTATTTTAAGTATGAGGTTTTCAAATGCATAACCCTATGCAGACACCACTATAATCAAGTTATAGATCATTTCCATCACCTAGAAAAGTTCCCTTGTGCCTCTTTGTTTTTTTTTTTGCGGTACGCGGGCCTCTCACTGTTGTGGCCTCTCGCGTTGCAGAGCACAGGCTCCGGACGCGCAGGCTCAGCAGCCATGGCTCACGGACCTAGCCGCTTCGCGGCATGTGGGATCTTCCCGGACCAGGGCACGAACCAGTGTCCCCTCCATCGGCAGGCGGACTCTCAACCACTGCACCACCAGGGAAGCCCCCCTTGTGCCTCTTTGCAGTCAATATATCCTCAGTGTATAGCAACCACTGACAGTCTTTCTTTCACTATAGTTTTTGCCTGTTCTATATTTTCATATAAATGAAACCACACAGTATGTACTGTTTTATGTCTGGCTTCTTTCACTTCATATTTTTGAGATTCAACCATGTTGTCATATGCATCAGTAGTATAGTCTTTTTAATTGCAGAGTAATATTCCATTGTATGAATATATCACATTTAATCTAGCCATTAATCTGTTTAGGGACATTTAGCCTATTATAAGTTTTTAGCTATTATGAGTAAACATTAATGTTTGAGTCTCTATGTGGACATACATTTTCATTTCAAGGGGAGTGAAATTGTTGGGCCAGGATATGCCAAACTGTTTTCCAAAGTAGTTGTATCATTTTATATCTCTACCAACAAAGTATGAAATTTCCTATTGCTTCACATCCTCATCAACATTCAGTGTTGTCAGTCTTTGTAGCCATTCTAGTGGGTGTAAAATGATATCTCACTGTGGTTTTAATTCATATTTCCTTGATGAACAATGATAGTGAGCACATTTTTTCATGTGCTTTTTGGTTATCCCTTTAACCTGTCTGTTTGAGTCTTTGGCCCATTTTTATTGGGTAGTTAGTCCTTTTCTTATCAATTTGTAGGAGTTCTTTATATGTTCTGTTTACAAGCCCTTTTTTTAATACCTGTACTGAAAATACTTTCTCCCATTTCATGGCTTGCCTTTTCATTTTATTTATTTAATATTTATTTTTAAATTTAATTAATTTATTTTTGTCTGTGTTGGGTCTTTGTTGCTGTGTGTGGGCTTTCTCTAGTTGCGGTGAGCCGGGGCTACTCTTCATTGTGGTACACGGGCTTCTCATTGTGGTGGCTTCTCTTTGTTGCGGAGCATGGGCTCTAGGTGCGCGGACTTCAGTAGTTGTGGCACACTGGCTCAGTAGTTGTGGCTCACGGGCTCTAGAGCGCAGGCTCAGTAGTTGTGGCACACAGGCTTAGTTGCTCCACGGCATGTGGGATCTTCCCGAACCAGGGCTCGAACCCTTGTCTCCTGCATTGGCAGGCAGATTCTTAACCACTGAGCACCAGGGAAGTCCGCCTTTTCATTTTCTTAATGGTATCCTTTGATGAGAAGAATTTTAATTCTGGTGAAGACTAATTTATCAATTTTTATTTTCTGTTTAGTTCTCTTCTGCACTCTTTCTAAGAAATCTTTACCTATCTCAAGATCATGAAGATATTTTATACTTTCTTCTTCTTCTAGAAGATATATGAGTTTTGCTTTTATGTTCAAGACTATGATCCATCTTAAATTACTTTCTATGTAGTGTGCAGAAGGGATCAAGTTTCTTTCTTTTTTTTTTTTTGCCGTACGCGGGCCTCTCACTGCTGCGGCCTCTCCCGTTGCGGAGCACAGGCTCCGGACGCGCAGGCTCAGCGGACATGGTTCACGGGCCCAGCGGCTCCACGGCACGTGGGATCCTCCCGGACCGGGGCACGAACCCATGTCCCCCGCATCGGCAGGCGGACCCCCAACCACTGCGCCACCAGGGAAGCCCGTCAAGTTTCATTTTTATCCATAGATTTATCTAGTTTTTCCAGAACCAATTCCATCCCCCCTCCTTTTTTTTTGGCTGCGCTGCAGCTTGCGGGGTCTTAGTTCCCCAACCAGGGATTGAACCCTGGCCCCAGCAATGAAAGCGCCGAGTCCTAACCACTGGACCGCCAGGGAATTCCCCAGAACCAATTTTTGAAAAGACCTGACATTCCCCGATAAATTCTCTTGGCCACTTTGTCAAAAATCAATTGAACATACATGTGGGCTCTCTATTCTGTTCAATTGATCTATTCATCTGTCCTTCTGTGGATACTACCCTACCCTCTTAATTGCTGTAGCTTTCTAGTAATTCTTGACATAAGGTAGTGTATGTCCTCCAACTTTTTCTTTTTCAAGCTTTTTTTGGGCTAATATAGATCCTTTGCATTTCCACATAAATTTCAGAATTAGTCAGTTTCCACACAAACAAAAAGCCTGTTGGGATTTTTGTTGAGATTTCAATGAATCTATAGATCAATTTGGGAGGAATTATCATCTTAATAATGTCGATTCTTCAAACTTATAAGCATGGTATATCTCTTCATTTTACGTAAATCTTCATTAATTTCTCACAATGGTGTTTTGTTGTTTTCACTGTAGTGGTTGGTCTTGCATGCTTTTGGTTAATATATTCCTACGTATTTCAGGTCATTTTATTGCTATTATGAGATTATTTAATTTCATTTTGCAATTGTTTGCTGCTAGTATATACACAAAGTTGATTTAAAATTTTAACCTTTAAACATTATTAAGATGACAAAATCAATTCTGAGTAACTGTCGAGTTAAAAGGATTACCCATTATATTGCCATTTGGTAATATGTCATCTCTGTAGGAAGGCCTTCTTTCAACACTCTATTGGGATTATTTTCCTCTCTGGACTTACTTCATAGCACTTACTGAAACATGGAATTATATATTTCTATACTTGCCTGTTTAACTTTTTCAGTGAAATAATGAGACGCAAAAGTCACAACAGTCCTTAAGCAAGACGTTGATCATCATTTAGGATTAAATTTAGTCTGATTTAATCATATCAAATCATACTTAAATGCAAGTATATCAATCTTTTAAACTGGATAATACAGACAACATTGTTTTTCAATCATGTCTATTTAAATTTTCCTTTTATCCAGACTGTTCAAGCCATTGAAACTACCTTGGAATCTCTGGTCTACATGCATTTTTAATTTTTTAAAAAATATCGAGACTACATTCATTTCTATCCAATCCAAGTGGTAAATTTTAAGTGCAGTGTACAATTGTAGATAACAAATAGCATAACTATCAATATTAAGATCAGCAAACAATACCAGATTCTTTCACACATTATCTCACTTAAATTTTAATCCCTCTTCCATGTATTATTATTCCAATTTAATAGATGAGGAAAGTGAAGTTCAGAGAGGTTAAGTGACTTGGCCAAAGTTATACAACTAATAAATGGCAGGGCCTGAGCAGGTTTTCTGACTAAGATTAGTGATCTTTCCATCATCCTACAACTCTTGCAGGGTTATTTGAAAGTGCTCTCAAAATGGTTGCAGGGGGGCTTCCCCGGTGGCGCAGTGGTTGGGAGTCCGCCTGCCGATGCAGGGGACGCGGGTTCGTGCCCCGGTCTGGGAGGATCCCACGTGCTGCGTGAGCCGTGGCCGCTGGGCCTGCGCGTCCAGAGCCTGTGCTCCGCGACGGGAGAGGCCACAACAGTGAGAGGCCCGCGTATCGCAAAAAAAAAAAAAAAAAAAAAATGGTTGCAGGCATGCTATTAAAAAAAAAAAAACACCTCAAAAACTTAATAATTTACTCCAAGTACAATATAAATACTTATAAATATGCCACTTTGAGCCTCTCTCCAAAACATGAAGCCAAATAGACGGACATGACTTTCATTTAAGTATGACCGATTTGACTAAATCAGACCAAAAGGAACCTTGAATGATAGTCAATGTATTTATTAAGTGTTTCAGAAGTTTTAAGATATAAAGGGAATATCTATCCATTTAAAGACATGACGATCAAATTTTTAAACATTTAGTTTCTTTACAAAGAGGTATTACTACATTCACTATCTTCCTCTTCCTCTCTCACACCTTTCTTCAACCAGACACCCATCTACCATTATTCTAACCACCACCCCATGCTGCTTAGCCCAGCACTTAACCTGCTTCCATCGTAGAGAACAACAGTCTCAGGGCACACAAGTATGCCGTGCAAAAATTACACTATTTCAGATCCAAAGTAAATAAATGGGTGAGATGGACAGGAAAATATTAAAAGCATTTTTCCCATGCAGAACACAAAGGACAAACGTAGCTTGCATAGTCTATCTTGTTCTCTGAACACTAACTTCACCAAACAGGAAGTCCAAAGAGCGAGTGTAAGTGCTAATGGTGAATGCAGCGTTTCACAAGAAAAAGGAAAGGACAGGAAACTTCCTTTTTGTATACAGCCGTTTTTAACAATGAAAGAAAGTCTGAGCTGCTTCTCATCCTTGAATGTAGAAGTGTTTGCGTGAAAACTGATTCAGGACCAAAAACTCTTGAATACCTTAAGCTGCCCCATATTATCCCTTTTCTTAGACTGTGATTTCCCGTCCTTGATGCCCCTGCTCAGCCAGAGCATCCCAGCCTTTCTTCTTGTTCTAATTCCAGACCTGGGTTCTCTGCCGTCTCCCGTACTCTTCCCATCCCAAACTGACTCCTCTCCTTCCCTGCGGCAAAGCGAAAACCTCCCCAAACCCACTCTCCTGTGCTACGATGACCTCCCACTAGACTTTCACACACTCAAGTCGAAGTTCTCCCACAGTCGTTCCCTCTTCTCAGCATGGAATGTTTCCTCCGCCAATGGCCCGCCTGCTCAGCCTCCTCCTGTTTAGGACCTTCCTCCAAGGCCCACATGTTCTTTGCGTCTTCTTTTCTCACACACGCCCCCAGACCATCCTCCAAGGGCCCTCAATTCTCAGTCCCGCATCTCTGTCCCCTGCAGACTCATGGCCCCTTCAAAAGCCCTCTCCTCTCAGATCTACATCCCTGTCTTCCTCAGAGCCTTGCTTCCCAGACTCACGCCCTCCTCAGCCACTCCCCTCTGACAACAACCTCTCCTGACAGGCCCCAGCTCCCCTCAGACTGCCTCCTCTCTCAGACCCACGTGCCTCCCCTGGATCTGCGTCCCCTGTCAGACGCCTCTCGCCTGGATCTGCGTCCCCTGTCAGACGCCCCTCGCCTGGATCTGCGTCCCCTGTCAGACGCCCCTCCCCTGGATCTGCGTCGCCTGCCAGACCCTCGCCCCGCACCTGGATGCGCCTCGCCGCGCCCAGCCGTGTCTGCTGCACGAAGGGGTTGCGCACGGGCGGCGGGAAGAAGGACGCCTGGCGGGGCACTCTGGGCGGCCGCTGCCCCGCGTTCCCGACGCCCGCGCCGGGCCCCGAGGCCGCCACCGCCGCCGCCTCAGCGCACCGGTTCATGGCCGAGCCCGGCGCCTCACAGGAGCGAAGAGACCCAAGCGGTGCGTGCGAGCTGCCGCTGCCGCCAAGGCTTGAGGCGGATCAGCTTAGGAGTACGGGCTCTTTGCGCAGGCGCCAAAGTTACCTACCCGCCCTCCGGTCTCGCCCCGCCCCCTCTGGCTCTGAACACGCCCAGGCCCTGGCCCCACCCCCCTGAGCACACCCCCCCACCCTTTTAGATTGTCCGGCTCTTCCTCTTGGGGTCAATAGCTCAGCCTCCTTGGGAGTGAAGGTTTTTCCTACAGAGCAAAGCCCCCCCCAACGAGAGACAGTTTAGGCTGAGTTCTCTGCTTTAGGGTCAGGCGGACCTCGATTTCCTTTTGCTTTTTTTTTTTTTTTAAAGAAATTTATTTATTTTTGGGCGCGTTGAGTCTTCCTTGCTGCCCACGGGCTATCTTCAGTTGCGGCGAGCGGGGGCTGCTCATCGCGGTGGCTTCTCTCGTTGCACAGCACGGGCTCTAGGCGCGCAGGCTCAGTAGTTGCTCCGCGGCATGTGGGATCTTCCTGGACCAGGGCTCGAACCCATGTTCCCTGCATTGGCAGGTGGATTCTTGACCACTGCGCCACCAGGGAAGCCCCTCCTTTCGCTTTTACTGCCTCTTTGACGTTGGTCAAATCACTGGCTCCATGAGCCTCTGCTGTCCCCTTCGTAATCGTGGATAAATGGAACTTAGATAAACAACCTGAATCCAGCAATTCAAGGAGCAACCCCTGGGCTGTTCCTGTAAGAGGGTTAATTACCCAGGGTGGGTTTGATTTCTGGTGTATGTTTTGGTTTTGCTTAAACCCGTTTGGGTGGGATATTTATCAGTTACCGCTAAGACTCCTGACTAATATAGAAATTGGTACCAGGAGTGGAATCTCTTTCACTCAAAATACGGACTGACAATGGGGAGATAGTTCTCCAAAGGAAAATTGAAGCTGCAATTACTAGAAAAGGACAAAACCACCACTGCCCTCTGCACTAGATGAGGAACCTGGCCTCAAAAAGGGAAGTGACTTGGGCTGTGGCCCCACTTCACCCTGAAGTTCAAGGGCCTATCTGGACCTTTGTTGGTGGGGGTTAGGGGGAGGAGTTTCCCAGGACCTGAGATCAGTTGGTCAAGTCCTGAGTGGCTGAGAGGCAGATGGAGATGGTGAATGATTTATCTTTACTGGTCAACTGCTCACAGCAGGCTGGAGGCATGATGAGAATCTGACTCTGGGCCCTGGGACAGCTGCTCCTTCCAAGGTGTCCACTGTAGAATCTCAGAATCTTCCAACCCTACCAGATAGATGCAGCCTTCAGCTACTCACTTAACCTCTCTGAGCTTGCATACTCATCTCAGAATGGGAAGACTAATTCCTACCCCATAGGATTGTATTGGGTTGGCCAAAAAGTTTGTTTGGGTTTTTCCACACCACGCTACGGAAAAGCACAAATAAACTTTTTGGCCAACCCAGTAGTATCAGTTAAGTAAAATAATGCATGTGTAGTGTTCACAGAAAAGCACTCAAGAAATGGCACCTTTTAGGTATTACGTAGTGGAGCAGCTGAATTTTCTCAGTATTTAACAGAGAACCTTAATAACAACATATTACAGCCGTGATATAAAGTGCCCCAGCTTTGGGGTCTTCAAGTAGAGGGTGTCAGACCCTCGTGGCACTCTAGCACAGAAGGCAGTCTCTCCAGAGCCCTCAAGGACCGGAGCGATTGGGCAGGCCACAGGAGAAAAGAGGACTCCACCAAGGTCACCTCCAGAGACCTGTGCACTCATCATCCCCTTCCCTACCAGCCCCACCCTGAGAGGTCTGAAGTAATAGTCTATCGGAGCCAGAAAGGGCCCCTGAAATAACCCCAGGCCTTAAGTTTCTGTTCTGTAGCAGCTCCAGAATTTCTATATAGGAAGGGATTAAAGATGGGCAATCTGCTGGAGAGAAAGGTAAGGAGCTTACCCATTAATAGAAGCTGTGTTTAGAAAGCACACACATTTCTCCCCTAGCTGAGTTTACTTAGAGGGTTTTGGGGGAGGTGGAGGTTAATGCTGCTGAGGGAGATACTCAGCTTCCAGCTAAAGCTCCTTCTCTAGGTCATCTTTGGCCTTGAGTCAGGATGTTACCCAGTATCTATGGTATCCTGGGAAAATCACTTTTCTCCAAGCCTTAGTTTCCTTATCAATAAAAGTTGACTAATAATATTCTCCCTTCTTTACGTTGCTATAAAGGTTAAATGAAGTGATGCACGTGAAGTGCCTGGCATATAGTAAGCATTCTATTAATGGAAGGGGTATTACTGTTGTTCACTGTTACTAGTATTAGAATTGGTGTTATTGTCAACGAAGAAACTGAGACTCAAGAAGAGAGGAAACCTTGAACAAGGCCCTGCAATTAAATAACAGAAACGCTGCTGTTCCAGGGCTCTTTCCACGGGGCAGAGGGACTCCAGCTCACCCACCCTGGGTCTCTCGCTGTTTATTTGGGCATCTTTGTGACCTTTCCAGCATGTGTTACCTGTATGCTGCAGGGAGCGGAGATTTAGACTTTCTAAGTTTCCTCTTCTGGCTGGGGCTGGGGCCCCTCTCTAGTCTCTGCTAAAACAGCCGGCCAACACGGCCACTCAATCGGTGTCTTTATTCATACTCGTTGATTTTTCCCACGGGGAAACTGCTGAAGGGAGAGGGTGGGGGAGAGCTGGGTGAGGAGCCAGGGTTTGGTTTTCCTCCATCCAGTGGAGTAAGTGACAGAGGAGGGACATACTAAATAGAGTGACCAAGGGGACCATCACTACGTGGGCTGAGATGCATCGTGCAGTGACTTCAGATAACCCGAGTCCTTCTGTCAGGAAATGCAATTTCAAAGTGGAAAAATAAAAAAGATCAAAACAAAAAAAACACAAAGTGCATACAAAGCAAACTGCTAATGTAGGGACGGTTCTAAGGCAGCCAGCAGTGAGAAGGCCAGGTGTCTGGCGTGGCCACCGGGCCGTGCCCCTCTCCCACTGCCCCATGCCAGGCCAGGCTGTCGGGCCACCAGTGCCCTCTTCAGACAGTCTCTGTTGGCTCCAAGGGTGCTGTAAAGCCACAGAAGGTTGTGGAAGGAGAAGAGCCTGAAGGGTGGCAGCACCAGGGCAGCCCAAGACAGGGCTGCATTGAGAATATCAAAGCATCTCTTTGGGGGTGGCTCTGGAGGGCTGGTGAGGTGTGGAGGGGGAGGGGCACCTGGGACGGGTACAATCAGGACCTTTCTTGGAGCACAGGGCAGAGCCACTCTGTGGTTTCTTAAGTTACCAGGTGGGAGTGAGGATGCTGATTAACTACAGAGCTGAGGGCTGCCAGGCCCATCCGGGTCCTTCCCTGGTGCTCAGGGCCCGGTGTGCAGAGAGTGATAGAGAGGCAGGCCCTGGGGGAGGCAGAGACAGCTCAGCAGCCCAGCCAGTCGGACTTGATGCTTCCGAACTTCACGCTCTTCAGACTTTGGTTCTCCAGCTTCAGGTAATACGCGCCCTTGAAGAAGTAGCTGTGACCTGGGATGAGAAAGAGAAGAGGCCGTGACCAAGCCATCCTCAGGCATGACGGCACAGGGAAGGTTCCCGAGAGCTTGACAAGTCTGCTTGCTGTAAGGAAGAAGCTTTTAAATCACAGGAGAGAAGAAAAAAAAAAAATCACAGGAGACCCCTGTGAGGCTGGAAGAAGGGAAACGGCTGTGGAATTATGCTCTCCGAGTCTTTGTTTCTTCATCTTTAAGATGTGGATAACGATACCACCCCTTAAGGCTTCTGAGGATTAAATGAGATGATATACGCTATAATTAAGATAAATAACAGAACTCCACTGAGCACAAGCTCCAAACTAGGCACTTTCCTTTTCCAGAGGTGGCAAACCAGGAGGCTGCTAGCCCCATTGGGCCCACAGATTGGTGTTATTTAGTTCACACAAGTTTTTTGTTTCATTTTGTTTTGAATAACTGGCCAACATGTAAACATCTGGAAATTTCATATGAAAATACAAGATTTCTCACTTCCTTTTAAAAGAGTTAGAATATCTAATAACACTGCTTCCCTTTTCTTGCAGGGCAGAGATCGCCAGAAGCCGAGAAGCAACTGTCCCCTGAAAATGAGCCATGTGCTCTCTGGTGCTCCACAGACCCCACTACTCCCTACTGTCTGCCTTGCCTGCTTCACTTATTCATGCCACCAGCTTGGCCCCTGTGGGCTTTGGAATTTCTTACTCCTAACATATATGATCTCATTTTCTTCCTTTCAAACCCTGGCATATAGTAGGTGCTCAGTAGACGTTTATTTCTGAAGATAATCTTTAACCTAGCACCTGATTGTATGCTGCTCTCTCCTGGACATGTAAGACCTTTAGCCCCTGGAGGTCAGGGCCATGTGCTTAGCGTGTGATAGGAACTCAAGAAGCATCTTTGTGAAATTTAATTGAAATCTCCTCTAAAAAGCCAAACTGGACTCATTTCCAGGGCCCTAGAGACCTCCCAGAAGCCTCCTCAGGAATATGGTTTCCAAACTCCAAACTCTATCCCTCGCTGGTTTGGTGTTTCATTCAGCAAGGGACCAGGGACAAATTGAGCCGATGGGATATCTCTGCCACCTCAGCAGCAGGGCCTAACAAAGTTTGTGCTGTCTCAAATGGAGCCATCCTTCTGCTAATGGGAAGCAGTCACAAGGCCTCTTGCGGAACCCAAAAGGGCTTGGATCAAACCCCAGAATGAATCCAGGGCACTGAGCCCAGGTTTCTCGCTCCCAGCAGGCCTCCCGCCCTCCCTGCTCCCTGGCTCCAGGCTCTGCAGCTGTGAGGGGCCTTTCTGGGTCTTATTGCCTGGAGCCAGCTGAGTGAGCAGAGGTCAGGGGTCTGGATGCCTTCCCAGCACTGGGTTGAAGGGGCTGGTTTGTTTTCCCGGGGCGCCGCATGCTTTCCTGCACAATAAGGGAGTGTGTGCTTGCGAGGAGCAGGGACCTGGCTGGGGGGCAGGGAGTCCTAGAAAGTGGACAGAGGCCTGGGCAGCTCACCCCCGCCCTGCAGGTCCACCACGGCATCCAGGTTATCAGGGATGGCGTTCCAGGCATCTGCGATGAGCTTGGGGAAGCCGGGATCCATTTTCTTCTTCACCTCATTGTATCTGCAAGGAAATGGCCATGGTGAACCTGTGGGAATCCCTAAAGGCCAGCCCTTTCCCAACTTGATGGGAGGGCCAGGATGATGGCTCCTGGGTGAGCCTGGGAAGCCAGACCTAGCCCTTCAGGGAGGCCACTGACTGGAGCTGAGGGGCAGGGAGTCAGACCTGGGTAAATCCTAATTCCACTACTCACTAATTAGGTGACTTTGGACAGTCCCATGAAAACAATCTTGTGATTACTGCTCACGTTTAAGCAGTGTGTTACCCACTTTCCATATACTTTCTCAATCCTTTCGACAACTCTAAGACACAGTCACTACCATAATACCCATTTTACAGACCAGAGGCTTAAAAAGGGCACCCAGTTTCTAAGTGGGAGTCCAACCCCAGCCTGTCTGGCTCAGGGCAGCAAACTGCTCTCTGGGCCTCAGTTTTACCATCTGTAAAATGGGTTATAATTAATTTAATGTATTTAATTAACACATATGTGAAACAGAGTAAAACATGCAAAGTGCCTATCCCAGTGTCTGGTACTGGGTAGGTATCTGGGAAATGTTAGTTCCCTTACAAACTCTGATCCCTGCTGCAGTACAAACAGCACTGGCCCGGGAGCCCAGAGACAGGGTCCGGCCCCATCACTGCCCTTCACAGCTCAGCTTGGACAAATACTGCTTCTTCACCTGTCAGGTGGAGTTGACAGTCCACATCCTGGGCGATGATCTTGGCTGGGACAGTGAGGTTACAGTACAAGGTGGTGTGTGAACCCAAGCCCTGTCAGTCACAGGGCGACTTCCTGCCACCTCAGTCCCAACTGCAGTTCTCAGGGCAAGTCGTTATCTTGGGCTCTGCCTTTAATTTGTGTAAATACCTTGAGTATTAGTTGGCGTATTCTTCTTTCTGGCTAGCAACATCTGTGTCTTTTTAATTTGGAGGGAGAACTTTTTAAATGCTGGGGTTATTTTGATTCCATTGCTTCTCCACTTACACTCAATATATTTATTATTCTGTAAATATTTAATGAGCTCCCACTATGTCGCTGTGGATATTGTAATCAACAAGATAAAGTCTTGCCCTCATGATGCTGATTTTCTAGATAGATCTGTGTTTGAATGCCATCCCGGTGACAGCCAAGCATCAGCCTCATAGCTGACTCTCTTCTTCCCCACAGCCAGCCTGACGACCTCCACCCCAGATGCCAAAAACAGCTTCCTCTCTGAGTCCCCTTCTACAGGGGTCTTCCCCCTCTGCCCATCACCCTCAGGACTGCCAGAAAAGCCTTCCTAACCCCAGTTCTGTCATGAAACTTCTTGCCAAACCTAGCATGCTTCCTCATGACCTGGGGTACCAAAACCAAGTTTCCCAGCTCAAAATTCTAGCAATCCATCCATGTCACCTGCACTGACCTCCCAAACTACATTCTCTAGAGTGATGATGGCTGAGAGCTATGTGTCCTTGAACTTGCCCTCATTTCTTTCTCACTCTACCCACGGAAGGTAGGGACAGCAGGAAGCAACCCCATTTGATGGATGAGGGAACTGAGGCTCGGAGAAGTGAACCAATTGGCTTCCAAGTTCTTTTCCTCCAGGAAGAATACAGCATGGAGCCATCAGAACATGTTGGCTCTGAACAGAACCACACCTTTTCACATTCCTCTCTGTCCCCAGAGCCTCCTCTGGGAGCCTCCTTTCCTGCTCGCTGGTACACTCTTTTTTTTTTTTTTTTTTTTTTTTTTTAATTAATTTATTTGTTTTTGCTATGTTGGGTCTTCGTTTCTGTGCGAGGGCTTTCTCTAGTTGCGGCGAGTGGGGGCCACTCTTCATCACGGTGCGCGGGCCTCTCACTATCGCGGCCTCTCTTGTTGCGGAACATAGGCTCCAGACACGCAGGCTCAGTAGTTGTGGCTCACGGGCCCAGTTGCTCCGCGGCATGTGGGATCCTCCCAGACCAGGGCTCGAATCCGCGTTACCTGCATTGGCGGGCAGACTCTCAACCACTGCGCCACCAGGGAAGCCCTGGTACACTCTTTTGAAAGGTTTCTGTGTGACCCTCTGAACTTCTCCCTTCTGGCTGTAGAACTGCAGTGCAGAGCAGGTGTTAAGAACACAGACATCGGGCTTCCCTGGTGGCACAGTGGTTTAGAGTCCGCCTGCCGAGGCAGGGGACACGGGTTCGTGCCCCAGTCCGGGAAGATCCCACATGCTGCGGAGCGGCTAGGCCCGTGAGCCATGGCCGCTGAGACTGTGCATCCGGAGCCTGTGCTCCGCCAGTGGAGAGGCCACAACAGGGAGAGGTACGCGTACCGCAAAAAAAAAAAAAAAAAAAGAACACAGACATTTGTGTCCAAGCTTTTTCAAAGGTATATCCTTGAGGCACTTCAGCCTGAGTTTCTACACTTAGAAAATGGAGCTAATAATAGCATCTACCTTAAATGAGAAATACAGGTGAAATGCACAGCCCTGGGATGTGGTACAGGTCCCATCACAAAAGCCATCACTATTTTATTTGTATGTGTTTATGTCTCTTCCCCTCACGATATTTAAGTTCCACCAGGCAGAGAGCGACTATTTCTTGACAGCTGTCTTCCAGCACCTAGGTAATTGCCTGGTACATAGGTGATATTGAATATATTATTGTGGGTTTAGTGGAAGCTTCTAGAAGCAAGGGCTGAGCACCCCCTGGCATGACTTAGGGTTTGGCCAATCTGGAAGCAGGTGCTCGTCCTCTGTCATTCTGGAGCGCTCTCTCCTTCTCCAGAAAGGAGGCCTGGGCATCGGCAGACTCCACCAGGACCAATGTCTCGGGCTCAGTAACTATCTCTCCTGGGAAAAATATCTGTCTCCTTTGGAAACCCCGCCCAGATCCTCCAATAGATATTTCAGTTCTGCTGCTTTGAAGGAAGATTCACAGAACTTCCTCTGTAGAGCAGGCTGTCCATCCCAGATCCAGGCTTTGTGAGGTGGGCTTGCTGTGGAAAAGGACTGGGAAGCAGATAACTCTGCCCAAAACCCAGCAAGGTCCACAGCGTGAGCATCAGTGTGTGTGTGTGTATGTGTGTGTGTGTGTGTGTGTGTGTGCGCGCGCGCACATGCGCACGCATGGACACGTCTGTTCTCATATGTTTACATTCACCGTACGTACTGGACGGTGATTATAAATGTCCTTTCAACACCATGATTCAAAGACAAGGGTTCTATGATTCTGCTCTGTGAGGCTGGGCCTCTTGCTGTGCATGATTCTAAGATCTGGAGATTCGGAGTGCCTACTGTGCCGAGATGCCCTTCCACAGTATGTGCGTGTGCCTGAGAGTGTTCTGGAGCCTGTGGGCAGAGTGCCTGCTCCGTGGTTTCCTGGCTGACTGTTTCCTTTCTTGAGGCTTGAGATATCAATCAGCTTAAGTTGCTAAGTATCTTAGCAATATGTCTGGAATTCCACCCTGCCACGGCAGCCTGGGACATAAACAGCTCCTGAATGCAGGGCAGCTGGGGGCGGGTGGTGGGGAGGAGACGCGAGGAGAGAGGCCTTGGGAGGGAAGCAGGATTGTTCCAGGGGTGGCAGACAAAGGTCCAGATGCAGCCACGGGAGGAAACATGGGGACGCTAGGAGGGAAGGAGGAAGACCACCCCTCCCCCACCGACCCGATGACCCTGAGGGTACAGTGCAGGGGGCCCAGGGTTAGAAGCCAGAAGAAGCGGTTATAATCCTATAATCTGTGGCCAACACACTTGCCTATAAATAACTTAAGACAAGTTGGTTCATTTCTATGGACCTCAGATTCCTCACCTAGGAAATGTGAAGATTTAAAATCAAACTCCTGAGGGCTGGGCTGCCTCTCACTAACCTTTCCTGGTGATCAGGCTCCCTGAACCTCAGGCCTGACCGTGGCCTCTCAGAATCAGATCCTTCCCTTTAGATGAGCTGGAGCAGAGAGCTACCTGCTTCCACACTGGCCCCCCGCCAGCCTGTGCCCACAGCTATTGAGCCTGTGGCAGATGGGCCAGAGGGTGCCGCTGTTTTCAATAAGGCTGGATTTGGATGCTGGCTCCAGTGGACACCCGTCTCAGTTTTCATCCTATGTTTGCTATCTGCCATCCCTGCCTCCACCACCCCCATCTCTTGGGACCCCACTATCTCAGGTATAGTGTAGAAAGTGAAGAATGTTCTCTGGGAGCCAGAATTCCAGGGTTTAAATCCCAGCCTGCCACTACTTGGCTGTGTGACTTTAAGCTAGACACTTAACCTCTCTGAACCTCTTTCTTCACCTATAAAGTGGGAGGAATAGTAATAATAATATCCACCTCATAAAGCCTTTGGAATGGTGTCTGGCACATAGCATCAGAGTAGCAGCTATTATCTTTATTTTTATCACTCCCTTCTTCAGTGATTCACTCTAAAATATGGGGCTCCAGACCAGACGGACATGGGCCCAATTCAAAGACTTCTGAGAAGGGAAAGGAGGATCTAACCAGAATTGTACCAGTAATGTGCCCAAGAATAGCTCACCCTTTGGTGACTTTTCAGAGGGCCAATAACCCTGGCAGATTAGGGACCAGAGAGGGGGCATCCATGGTCCACCAGCCTCCAAACTTAACCCAGGAGGCTCAAAGCCCGTGTCTTCTCTCCGTCCACGCAGCTGGTGGTGCCGCTTTCCTTCGCACCGCCCTCCCTTACCTCCAGAACTTGTCTCCAGCGAAGATGTACGTCTTCTTGTTCTTGCTCCAGTTAAAGGCAGCATCCACTTTTTGGACATCAGGGGGAAGCCCCAAGCTGGTCAGCGGCTTGGGGTACCCTCGCTCCAGGGTGCTGGCTGAATAGACCCAGTATTCATTCCCTGGGGTGGAAGAAGAGGGTGGGCTGGTGGCAGGTGCTGGAGGCTGTTCCTCCCACCATCCATCTGCCAGGGACCCCACTGTGGCCTTTCTCAGCAGGGACACAAGTTCTGCCCAGTTCCGCATTCAGTGTCCGGAATCAGGGTCCACATATAAGGTTTTACAAATCGGTTATGGAAGGTCCCTGGCCAAGAAGGTAAGTGGGAGTGAGTCCTAGCCTGGCTCCACTTACCAAGCCAGAGACTCTAAGTGCCACACCTGTTGTGAAGAGGCACCTTTTTCTAATTTGCACAAAGGTCCCCTGTGAGCCAGCAGCTGCCCTCATCACTCTGGGCTGGAGGAGCTGGGAAGCCGGCTGGTGGAACATGCACCCGTGGTGCTTCAGCGCCCCCGGGAAGCCACCCCTGGGCCTCCACCACAGCCCTTCCTGAGCTCCCTCATAACAGCCTGTTTTTCTGTCTCCCCCACTAGTTCATGAGCTCCCTGAGAGCAGGGGCTGCACCTCTGGCACATGATAGGTGCTCGAATAAAGATTAAATGAGGAGGGTTTCCCAAATGTTACCCATGTGACCCTACCTCGGTGATTTTTACCACTTATATAGAGTCTCCTCATATTACTTAACTCGAATTAACGTTTTGCTTTCAAGGAATTCATTTTGAAGTCTATAGAAATAAATTTAAACATTAAAAATGAAAACAAATAGGTGTTGAAAAAATTCTAATTAAAATTGTCATCTGCCAAAGGCACTAGCATTAGGAAAGTGTTAAAGACACCAGAACTAAAGTGTCATTTTCCCTCTGGAAAAGGAATCAGAAGGATTGAAAAGGGATTAAAAGGTTATTGAAATGGTCGTTCTGTGGGCCAGTGCTAGTTGATGCTGGGTGTCTGAACCCATCTCCCAGATGATGGTTGAAAGAGTGGATCCATAAAGGGGAGGGAACACCCACCAGTGCACAGGAATCACGGTGCAGTGCCGCCTGGAGCCCAGGGCCAGGCAGTTCCCCTCCCACACACCTGCAAAGAATACAGCCTTCTCCTCCTGTGGGGCCTCGTATACAGCATCGATCTTTTCCGGGAGCTCAGACCAGAATGTGGCCACCAGCAGGGGCCCCATGGGCTTGTCACGTGGTGTCACTGTTCGCCAAATGAACCTGGGTGGGGGAAGGGGACACAGGAAACCAAACCTTCAGTCACTCTGCAGTTGTAACCGCACATGCCTCTATAAGCCCTCTCAGAAACATCTCTGGATGATCCCCTGGGAGGCGGGGAGGTAAGATCAGAGAAAGGGTGGAGAAAGACTGGAGAATGGGCAGAACCCCCCCTGCAAGATGCCAGGGCTGGGAAGCAACCTTTTGCTCGCCCACCTGCTCCCTCCTCCAGGAAGCCTTCCCTAACTACTTCTGTCCCTTACTGTGTTCTCCCTCCTCTGAGCCTCTTAAAATCATCAACACTGAGTGCCCAGAAGAGTAGTTTGATTGTCTGTTTTTTTAAGTGTCTTATCTTTCCTGTCAGACTCAAAGCCAATTCAGGCAGAGGCTGATGGCGATGAAAAGTATTTCCTGAATTCAAATGATGGATTCAGGCACTTTGGCAGGAGTAGTAAAGAGCCATCGTTTATTGAGGGCCTACTAAGTGCCAAGCACTTTATGTGGCTTGTAAAATGTCAATTTCAATGTCAATATTTTAAGATAATATGCACTCTCAGTGGTCTACCCAGCATCTATTATCTTATTTCCCTATCATCCTTCCTCACAAAATTCCCACATTTATGGCCCCTCCTTTCCTATAGGTGGACCCAATCCCCATTCTGATGAGTTTAAGCTACAGGTTCTCAAAGTGTGATCTCCAGACCAACACCTGGAACTCATTAGAAATGCAAATTATTGGACCCGACTCAGGACCCATGAATCAGACTCTCTGGGCTTGAGGCCCAGTAATCTGTGTCTTAAGAGCCTTCCAGATGATTCTAATGCATGCCAAAGTTTGAGAACCACTGATCTAAGCCTATTGGAGCTTAGCATTCCCTGGCAACTGTTATTGATTCAGCAGTGGCCATATGTCCTATGTTGGCACAATAAGATTGAACACATACACTTATATTTCACATCTGGAGATCTGTCTCTCTCTTTCTTTTCTGCTGGATGTTTGCAAGGAAGTTTATAGCCCCAGTTGCTACTGGCAGCCATTGTGTGACCCTGAGGGACCCAGTCTTAGGATGAAGACAATGCCAAGCAGAGCAGTGGACGAAGACATCATTGAATCAGTGACCCTCTTTCTGCCCCTGGAGGCAGCCCTACCCCTGGACTTTGCACCACGTGGGAGTAATTTCTTTCCATTGTTTAAGCTGGTTTCAGCTGGGATTCTCTGTTACTTGCAGGCAAAACATCCTGATACAGGAAAGTATCACAATCCTTATTTGGCAAATGACGCTCAGAGAGGTAATGGAATTACCAGAATTCAAATCCACATCTGACTCCAAAGTCTGAGTTTAATTATCCTACAATACTGCCTTTCTTGTCCCCCACAATGCCTAGCACCAATTTCTGCATATGGTCAGAGCTTAAATTTTTTTTTTTTTTTTTTTTTTTTTTGTGCTACGGGGGCCTCTCACTGCTGTGGCCTCTCCCGTTGCGGAGCACAGGCTCCGGATGCACAGGCTCAGTGGCCATGGCTCACGGGCCCAGCCGCTCCGCAGCATGTGGGATCTTCCCGGACCGGGGCACGAATCCGTGTCCCCTGCATCGGCAGGCGGACTCTCAACCACTGTGCCACCAGGGAAGCCCAGAGCTTAAATATTTACTGATTAATTCAAGGAGTCCGTTAAACACTCATCAACTTCCTTCTGAAAGAAAGTGTGATGTGTCAGGCCAGGGATGGCTCCAACCTGGGCCTAGGCACTGCACCCTTTCCCAACTCTGTACTCAGATCTGCACGTGTGGTCAGGGCTTCTTTAGGGAGAAGTGCTCCAGACCAAGGGTGGTGCCGGGGCACGGGGCCCCTGGGCTCACCTCTTCCCCAGCCCTATAATGGGGGCTGCAGGACAGCACTGACATCTGTTGGTACACGTCCTGGTTTGGGCATTCATGGCCTGATGGACCTCACTTCTCATTGCATTTTGGGTCTCATCTCGCTCTGTATTCTTGCCCTCTCTCTCCCTACTGGCATCCGCCCCCCGGCACCTAGCCCAGTGCCTGAAGCAGAGGAGCCCCTTCACAAGAGTTTTTGGAACATCTTCAGCCTCACCAGGCTCTCCCGGGAAAAGCCAGGAACTTTCACATCTCTACGGCTTTGTTCTTGCAGTTCCCTCATCTCAAACACGCTCCCACCCTGCCAGTCCCATCTCGTCCATCCGCCTCTGCTTCTCCTTTAACGTTTCCCCTTGAGCGTTGCTTCACCTGCAGAGCTCTTCCTTCACTTGGACGTGTCCACAAAGCATTTCACTAATGTCTCTTGCAGTCACATCTCTTTCATTCTGCCATGTCTGTCCTCTATGCCTCTATTCCCTAAACCAGACTGGGGGTGCTCAAACTTTAATGTGCATCAGAATCACTGGGGAAATTTTTTTTCTTTTTTGGCTGTGCTACATGGCTTGTGAGATCTTAGTTCCCCTACCAGGGATTGAACCCAGGCCCTCGGCAGTGAAAGCTCAGAGTCCTAACCACTGGACCGCCAGGGAATTCCCATGGGGAAATTTTCTTAAATGCAGACGCCTGGGACCCATTCCCAGAGATTCCAGTCAGAGGGCCTGAGGGTGAGGACAGAAACCCACACGTTTAACCCTCACACTCTAGGTGGTTTCTGTGTGGGAGATCCACTGACCTCTTTTTGAAGACACCGATTCAGGCATTAAGCAGCCCCTCCACCTCTGGAACAACACCTTGCACCCCCAGCTCCCAAAGCCTAGCAAAGGATTTGGCACAGTAGATGGCAAGTAATTATTTGTCGATAATAACAACTAGTATACTTGAACGAACTTAGTCTGTGTCAGGCACTGTTTTAAGCACTAAACTCACCTAATCCTTACAACAGCCCTGTGAGATAGTTTGGAATATTCATCCCATTTTAGAGATGAGGAAATTGAGGTTAAAAAGAGATACACAGGGCTTCCCTGGTGGCGCAGTGGTTGAGAGTCCGCCTGCCGATGCAGGGGACACGGGTTCATGCCCCGGTCCGGGAAGATCCCACATGCCGCAGAGCGGCTGGGCCCATGAGCCATGGCCGCTGAGCCTGCGCGTCCGGAGCCTGTGCTCCACGACGGGAGAGGCCACAAGAGTGAGAGGCCTGCATACCGCAAAAAAAAAAAAAAAAAAAAGAGATACACAATTAACTTGCCTATAATCATGCAACTGGTTAGTAGCAGGTCCAGGATTCTAACCCAGGCAATCTGGCTCCAGAACCATTCTCTCAGCTATTATGCTCTATGGATGGACAGATGGATGGATGATGAATGGCTTAATGATGGATATGGACAATGGATGATGGATGGACAGATAATGGATAGATGGATGGATGATGGACAGATAGATGAATGGATTGATGGATGATGGATGGACCCTTTAATGTAGTCCTAGATTCTGCCTGCCTTTAGGATAGCTGGGTGAGTCTCAGCCCTGATGGATTGAGTCGGGGCCTTTATTTATAGCACGAAGGACACCACTTCTTTCTACTCTGTGGTTACTTGCTCCCCATATATAGAACATTCTAGGTCAAGGCCATTCCAGAAGAAGGCCTGTTGTAGACTGGATTATTGTTCCTAATTCTTTCCTCCATCCCTAGTTTAGAAGTATACATCCACGTGTGTTGTCACACGACTATGCAGTACCATCCCCTAGGGTAGGTATTGGGCTTGGCCACGTGATTTGCTTGAGCCAGTGGAATATTCTCAAACATGCTGAGACTGAAGTCTTTAAATGTGCTTGTGTGGTTTGATTTGGCCTCTTGTGCTCCTGCCATGTGCCACAAGTAGCCGCTAATCCCAGGAGAATGAGTGACACGCAGAGCATACCTGAGACCAAACTGCAGCACGAAGCCAAGGCACCTAGTAGACCCACAGACTAGGAGAGGGCACAAGAAATGCCTGTTGTGGTAGCCACCAGGATCTATCTGACACGCAGCAAAAATGGTCTCATACAGGCCATTCTGTGAAGCCCACAGTGGGATCCTTGAGCAAGAGATGGGCACGAGAATAACGGAAAAGAGGCAGAGGGCAAGGAGGACAAGAAGCAAAGATCCCGCACTTACCGGTCCTTGAAGAAGAAGATCTCCCCACGGATCTGAGAGATGCCATCAAAGACGATGTCCTGTTTGCAGATCTCAGGAGTGATGGGGCCCAGTGTGGGCGTGGGACCGGTGCCAGTGTCAATGTCGGGGGAGGCCCCTGGGGGAGGACACCTGACCTCAGACTCAGACTCTCCCCAGCTCCAGGGGTTCTCCCTACCAGGCTGAGCCCCGAGGCTGGCCCACCCAACCTGCGAAGCATCAGAAGAATAGTATTCTGGCCTCGGTGTCAGCCCAGGGAAGACGGGGGACGAGGCCTGGACTTGGAGAGGGGAGACTGAACAGAAACCGGAATCCTGTGGCCCTTCGCCTTTTACAAATGCTCTTCCCTGACATCCTCAGAATCAGTCCTCTCTACATCCCTAAGAGGTAGGCATCATTATTACCCCCATTTTACAGATGAGGAAACTGAGGCCCAGAAAGGTTGTATATGACTTGCCCAAATATTTAAACCCAAAGCTCATGTTAGTAAGCCCACAAGAGAGTCACGGCGGTCAGAGGGGATACTCGTGTGTCCAGCACTGGGGGTGTGGCACCTCCTTCACTCCTTAGGATAACCAGCCGCAGTTTAGAGATGAAGAAACTGAGTCGAAAGAGGTAAAGACCGGCTCCATCTTTTGAGGCTGGTGAGTGGCAGAGGCAGCACTCGAACCCACAGCCTCTCACTCTACTGCAGTTCTTCCCCGAGTCCAGTGTTCCCCACACTTCATCACTCCAGAGCCAGTTTCATGATTTCAGCTTTGTCCAGGTACCACCAGTACTATTATATATTTACTTTTCTTTTTCTTAAATGGAGTTACTTTGTAAACTCTGGCCTCACTGTAAGCATTAATATAAATAAAATCCCTAGTTTCAGGTACTAGTTGCATTGATCCTATTACGTGTTAAAATAGAAGAAACGTTAGGAAGACTAGAAACTTGCACCCCCGTATCACTAAGGTCATTCCAGGCACGGGGGGAAACTCTACCCTGTGTTTAGTTAATTCTCCCGGATTCTAAACCTCACTTGGATGCATAAACCTGGTTGATCTTGGGCCAGAGGGTTACCTTTCTCAGACCTCAGTTGACCTGCCTAGAAAATGGAGAGCCCATTTCTGCCCCGCCTGCCTCACAGCATGGCTCTGGGGAACCAAGTGGGGCACAGACACTGGTCTTATTTGGAAAGGAAAGGGCTGTCCAAGGGCCCCCTTGGAGAGTTGCTCTGACACACCCAGACCAGGTTAACACTCCTGCCCTTGTCTCCTGCAGTCCTAGACAAATGGGACCTGGATGGTTCCACTCCCTGGGCCTCCATCCCCAGTGGCATGACCTCCCCAGATCCCTGCCCCAGGGACCCCAAGCTGAGGCTTACCATAGAGCTCTTGAATGCCCTTGATGTCATCATGTGACAGGCGGAAGTTCTTGGTGTAGGTGTAAATGGGGGCCATTAGGGCTCCGGGATCCTCTGAGTGTTCCAGCCCCATTGCATGGCCAAACTCATGGGCTGCCACAAGGAACAGGCTGTACCCTGAGGCCCGCAGGGAGGGGAGGAGGGACAGAGAGACAGGGAGAAAGATGAGAGAGAAGTCAGGCCTGGCCCTGGCGATGGGGACATTTGAGGACATGCCCATGGTGGAACTGAGAGCATGGAGGTGACATGTACTGATTTTTCCTTCTCCCAAGAATTCTGGGGTTAACAGACCATGCCTATTGTTTTCAAGGAGAGTCAACCGAAGTCCGCTTGTCCCTTTCCAGGTGGGCTGCACGTGTGCTATAAAGGGGAGCACGTAGCATCGGCAAATCCTCTATGTAGAGTCCCATTTGTTAAAAATCCTGTTTCCTGGCTCTTTGTTTCTCTATAAAGACTAAGGACAAAACCTGCTCTGTGGGTTCTCCAAAGAGGTAACCCCTGGGCCCACCATTTCTGCTCCAGGGGAAGCAGTAAGAAGATTCTCACTTGGAGTCGTTGCCCAAAAGCTCAAGCCAGACAGTGGGCAAACCCTACTGTCACACCCTGTTGTGTATTGAATTGTGTCCGTCCAAACCCCATGTACCTGTGACTATGACCTTACTTGGCAATAGAGTCTTTGCAGATAAATTAAGATGCAAGTTAAAATGAAGCCATACTGCAGTAGGGTGGACCCTTAATCCAATGTGACCCATGTCCTTGTAAGAAAAGAAGATACTTAGAGATGAACATATAAGGCCAAATAACAACAGAGGCAGAGATTGGAGGGATACAGCCTCTAGAGGGAATGTGGCCTTACCCACAGCTTGATTTTAGACTTCTAGATGACTCTAGAAGGGCAAGAGAATACATTTCTGTTGTTTGAGGCCACCTGGTTGGCGGTACTCTGTTATGGCGGCCCTAGGACACTAATACACCGCCCGCCGGGTGCACACCTGCTCTGGAGCCTTAAACCATTCTGGCAGGTGGAGAATCCCACCTTTAGGTAGAGACTGCAGCAGGTAAAATCAGGATATGTGTTAGCATGGCACTTGGTGGAGGATGAGAAAAACTCCTTTGGCCAGCCTCTGTCAGCTGGCGTTCTCCAAGTTCCATCTCATTGAGAGTAAAAAGAAGAAAAGTAACTTAAAGAGAGGCTGACCTAATTCTGGCTGGCCCAGGACCAGCACGCTCACCTGGCCATCTGGGGCCTTGAACCCAATGACAGTGGGCCCTGCAGCCTAGACTGGGCACAGTGCCCCCAAGGATTCTGTTCATTGCAATGACCACACAGTACGGTCATGACCTGTCTCCTGGTCACTCTCTCGCTCCAGCCTGTGAGTCCTGGAGGGCAGAGAACTGTCCCAGGTAGCTGTGTTTTCAACATCCAGCACTGACGAGGACCCCTCCATTCACAACTTGGCAAAGGATGGTGCCCGTGGGGCAGGAGGGCTGTGGACGCTTCCCCGTGCTGCATGGAGGGTGGGGAGAGCAAGGATGAGACTCCTCCTGTTTTCCTCTCTTCTGCCCACCTGGCTCCCTGAAGGCAGCTCTCTGTTGGAGTGAGAATGCCTCGCAGGAGAATCATCTCTCTGGGGCAGGGCTCCCTGTGCCCAGCATTGAGACATTTTGGGGTTTGACAGCCCCACCTGGAGGGGTACAGATGTGGGAGGGAAAAGCAGCATCCCCTCGGGAAAGCTGGTTCCCACCCAGGAATCGGGTACTGGGATGGACGGGGTCTTATTTCAGAGGCCATGTCTCTGCCCGGAGAAACAAGGCCAAGGCAGGGACACTGTTTCCACGAGGAACGGACAGCATCTCTGCCAAGTGGGCGGGTCTGTTGTGGGCAGTGTCTCTACCAGGGAGGTGGGTGTCTGGGGGGCAGTGTCTGTGGCTGAGGTGGGTGGGGACTCTGGAAGATTTCCAGCCCAGTCGCGGGCGGGGTGGGGTGTGCAGTGTCTTTGCCCAATGGCCAGGGCTCCTACCTTGGTCAGGGCAGAAGCCCCACTTGCGGTCATCGTCGTAGTTGGCCGTGGTCGCACACCACAACTTCCCATCGCTGCGGCCGGTGCTGGTGCAGCTCTCGTGCTTGTTGCCCAGGAAGGTGAAGGGGAAGACACAGGGGGCACCTTCCGAGTTCCCGCCCACAGTAGACATGGCTGTGGGGTTAGGGACATGGGTCAGCGGGCAGCGAGGGGTCTGGGGCCACCGCCAGGGAGCAATGATATGATGCGGCCATTAACAAACCAGGCTTACTGAGTACTCGTTCAGTCCGGGGCACGCGGTCAAGTGCTTTACACACTGCTCACCCGCTTGGCCCCCTCCAACAGCCCTGTGTGGTTGGGACCCTAGGTTACCCCCCATTTCATGGATGGGGTGACTGGAGCTCAGAGAGATTAAGTAACTTGCCTGGGCACATGCTGCTAGGAAGTGGCAGGGCTGGGATGCAAACCCAGGCAGCCAGATTCCAGAGCTTTAATTAGCCTCCCATGGATGGGACCACAGCGGCTAGAGGCAAAGGGGGCTGGGCAAAGCTGAAGGTGTCAACACGTTTCCCGAGACCGGGAGCTCCATCACACACGGTCTCATGGGAGACCTACCTGTGTCTCCTGCAGAGAGCAGGGACTCAGCAAATGTCTGCTGAAGGAAAGAAGGAAGAAAAGAAGGGAAGGAGGGAGGGAGTCCTCATTGAAAAGCAGAGACCAAGGAGATGCAGACTAAGACAAAGAAAGGCAGGCAACAGAGACATTGAGATCAGAGAAAGGAAGAGACAATTGCCAGGGAGGCTGCGAGAGTGCGGGTCGTTCAGAGGGTCCTGGGTGGACCTGACATTAGATATCACCAACCGATTCAGCTGAACTGGCTGTTGGTGCACAGCGTCTGTCCTGATTTTGGTGTCTGTGCTGGACCAGCTGCTACACACCCTGACTAGCGCCCCGGTCCTGGGGAAAGGAGGTGGGGACAGGGCTCCCGTGGGCTTGCTATCGAAGGACAGGGAGAGGCGTGACACCTACCGGTCTCGGGGCAGAAGCCGTACTTCTTGTCACGGTCAAAGTCCTCGGTGGTGCCACACCAGCGGTAGCCATCGGTACGGCCCTCCGTGGTGCAGCTGTCATAGGATGTACCCTGGAAGCGGAACGGGAACTTGCAGGGCTGTCCGTCGGCGTTGCCACCCATGGTGAACAGGGCTGGGGTGCAGGAGAGAGGGGGAGGGTGCGAATGTGAGGGAGACCGCCCACCTGCCCACGGGTGGGCACCTGCATGGGCGCAGAGCTGGCTTGCTGCCCACCTGCCCGCTCATACCAGGGAAGTTGTAGCGTTGGTAAAACGTTAAAAAAACATATATCCTGGCTGGTAAACTGCTGCTCCTCTGAGCTCCCAGGGTGTAATTACCCCTGCCTACACGGCCAACCCCATCCTTCCCCTGGGACGTTATGGACGGCCCCCTCCACACCACCAATAAAATAGTTAACACCTGGCACACAGTGGGGCCCTCAGATCCCTGCGCCAGCCCCAGGGTCACTGTCCACTCTGCCTGGTTGTTGCCCACGTCCCTGTGGATTGCTAAATATATCATCCATGGTGGGCAGGATGGCAAGAGTCTCTCCATTTGATAGATCGGGAAACTGAGGTTTGCAGAAGCTGGTTCCAGAACTGCTTATGGTCATAGAAACGGAAAAACTGGATGAGGGCTGTAACTGAAAACTACAAAACACACTTAACCGCAATCTCTCCCTTCCTCGGTCTGTCACACACGCTCGTGCACAGAGAGAAAGCTTCACCTCCTTTCAACCCCAGGCCCTTTCCTGGATGCTGCAGTCCCTGCACGAGGGAGGAGGACAGGAGAAGGAGGGCACGACAGGGAGGTGGTGTTTTGGGGGACCTTTCAAGACACGCCCCAGGCTCCCACTCTGCCCTCCCCAAGACATGGGCCATGACTGGAGAGTTCAGGGCAGACAGTGGGATTAAGAGTCTGGGCTTGTCTGTCTTGGGTTCTTCCCCTGCTCCCCCATACCCTCATCCACCCTAAAGCTACAAAATGGTGTGTCTTTGGATTTGCCAACTAGCAAAACCACAGTGCGTAACAAGGACCATCTGTGCACTCCGGCGCCAGAGGTGACCTCACCAGCCCCCGTTAACTCCGCCATGGCCAGAATTGAGCCCAGTCCGTGGCGCCCCCAGCGCAGGTCTTGGGGCCCCATACCCTCACTGCTCCTGTCTCCCCAACCAAGTGACCTCCTGCAACGCCAGAAACAAGGGGATGAATGGAGGAAGTAACACTGAGGCCAGATGCCTTGGTGACCTCAAAGTGGGAAAGGCAATTGTTAAATATATCATCCACGGTGGGCAGGATGGTGTTAACCTCAATGGAGGCCAGTCTCCACCTCCGGCCTTCCATCAGCTGCATTTCTACCACCCAGGAAGCCCCCATCTCCTCTCAGATCCTGCCCCCAAAGGGATGGAGAGAAGCAGACGCTGACTCAGCAGTCAGGAGGGGCTGAGTAACCAGAACCTCTGCCCCAAGACCCAAACACGTGCATGTCGTGCGTACTTGCATCTGGCTAAAGACCAAATCAATGGCTAATGTTCAGGGCAGGGAAAAACCCTTCCCTAACTTATGAATTCCAGCTGTTTCTACTTCTATTATCAAGACATTCTGTTCTAAATACAGGGGTTGACACATGGGAGGGTTAACGCCATCCAAATCCCTACCGGGAAATGCAAGATACATTAGATATTTTTGGTTTTAAATATTTCTGACTTACTGATGGTCAATGCCTTGAACTCTTACTTAATACAAAGTATTGCGTGCACTTTGGTACCAAAAGCGTAAACAGGAACACAGTTAACCAGGTCTTTGTTTTTTTCCTTCTGTCAACATGGCTGGTACTTAGGGTTCAGTTGCAATAAAGTCACAGAGATTCACAAACATGTAAAATTACAGCCAAGAAGACAGAGGCATCTATAGATCGAGGAGTCTTTATGGGATAGTGAATACTTTAAAAAAGTATTTTAAAAGGTTTTGGACTTTCTCCCCTTTTCCCCAAACTTTCTCAGCTTTCAATCTCTAGAATCATTAAACACAATGACTTGATAGAGTATGAAATACGTATGCTGTCCTTTTATGATTTCTGATTATGAAGTGTGTCAAGGATAGATAGATGAAAAAGGATTGAGTGTGTATGTCAACACTCTCACCTTTTTAAAAACTTTTCCCTCTACATTGCTTCAAAATATCTGAAGCTTATGTCTGAAGCACTGACAAAAAGGCACACACAAATACTGCGTCGAACCTAATGCCTTTGCCAAGACACAGAGATGCAGCCACAAGCAAAGACAGATGGAGACCAAGAAAGGCAGACGCAACAGCTCCCAGACACCCACACCCACACCCACACCCACACCCACACACACACACACACACACATACTCAGAATCCAAATCAGAACCAGAAGTGATGGCTGAAATTCCCCAGGTTGGCGTCCCCAAGCCAGGCTGGGTACCAGGCCTTGGTGTCTGAGTCTTGTCTCCCAATCCCACTGCTAGGTTTCTCATCTACCCCCAAGCCTCTCCTTATGCCCTTGAACCTCCAATCCTGCTGGAGGGTAGAGAGTGGTTCTCTAGAGATCCACTGGGCATTTTAATCATTCTAAGTTCTTCTAACGCGTGTTAGCAAAAACTAATTAGTGCATCAAACTGGTGAGTTCAAAAATATTATTACTAATGATAAAACTTAAAGAAGAAAAGGAATTGAATTAATGAAAGTATTAACTGAATAACGGAACAGACGAGAGGGGCACAGTGATGGCTCAGATCAGGACATGGGGCCTGAAGGAAGTTGAGGGGACACTGGTTGACTGGCAGTGCCAGGCCTGGGGAGTGTGGAGGCCGGGAAGGTGGAGGCCTGGGGCCAGGAGGACACTCACCTTCATGGGGGCAGAAGCCGTACTTGCCATCCTTGTCGAAGTCGTAGGTGGTGGAACACCAGAGGAAGCCGTCGCTGCGGCCCGTGTCCGTGCAGCTGGTGTACTCCTTGCCGTTGAACAGGAAGGGGAACTTGCAGTACTCCCCGTCGGCGTTCCCATACTTCACGCGGACCACTGAGGGGCCACACAGGGTGGAGGGTGAACCTCTCCAGGCCTTTCTTTAAAGACCAGGATTGTGACTCACCAGGGTGTGTGACCTCCCTCCCCCTCCCATCTGAGCAGATGGAGGGGTCCGCGGTTGCCAGGGAAGCCAAAGTCCTTGTTGCTAGGTGACAGGAAGGCATGCAGAGGACCGGCGAGGAGGCTTGGGCATGTGGATGGTCACTTTCTTACCTTGCCCTTCTCCCAGGGTCCAAAGCTCATCGTCATCAAAGTGAGAGTCTCCCCCAACGCCAGGGCCTGGGGCGAAGGCGTGAGCCAGAAGCCCGTCTTTGCCATCAAAAGGGTACCCATCTCCATGCTCTGAAACACACTGGATCTTAGCTTCTAGCTACCCCGCTGGGCACTGACACCCAAGCACACGCCATCCATGGTTGGGGCCCTTTAGCCCACCTAGCATCTGTCCCCTTCCCTTGTCCTGTTGGGTTATCCAGGACTGGGGACACAGTGAGTCTAGAGTATTGCTGACTTGACTGCCACCATCCTATGGTCTACACTACTCCCTCAAGTCTACACCGCCTTCAGAATCTCTGCCACCAACCTTCACTGTCTACACTACTGCCAATGACAGTACAGCTATCCACACACCTACACTATCATACCAGTCTCCTCACCACCCACCCTCCTTGTCCACAGTGTCTATACCATCTACCCTCAATCCACACTGCTCTCTCTTAGCCATATCACCTCCCTTCATGTCACACTATCCCGTGGCCACAACACTAACCCTCATAACCGCTTTGCCACCCAGGGCCACATGCCTACACTGTCTCCTGTGCCTGTGCCACTTACCCTCATCACATACCACTCACAATGTCTACACTGCCTACCTTCGTGTCTACACTACTGTCAGTGTTCCTACCCCAACACACACGGTGCCCTGGACCCTGGGTTCTATTCCACTTACTGTCATGTCTACACTGGTCCATCTGACCCACTCTCATATCTAGAGTTCCTCAGTGTCTCTGAGTGTCATCCAGTAGAACTTCCTGCCATGATGGGAATGTTCTTTGCCCAACTTAATAGTCTGATGTGTCTACTGAGCACTTGAAATCTAACTAGTGTGACGGAGAAACTGAATTTCAAATTTTATTTAATTTTAACTAATTTAAAAGTAAGTAGCCCTACGGATCCAGGGACTACCATACTGGACAGGAGATGGGGAGCCGTATGTTTTCAGGTTCACACCGCCTCCAGGGAGTCACGTCACTGCCTTCCCATCAACGCGGCTCTCCAGTGTCTGCATCTTCCACCCTCCTAGCTAAGCTGGAAAGGAGTCCCCTGTGGCTCTCTGATGTCTGGATCGCCCCCTTGTCTCTGCGCTGACCCCCCTGCTGGCCCCTCTTCTGCCTACCCCAGCGGCCAAAGTTGATCATGATGTCAGCTTCTCCGTCATGGGTCCGAGAAAACCGCAGTGGAGTCACATCACTCCAGACTCGGAAGGCACGAGCGAAGGCATCGTCCACTGTCTCGGGGTCCAGATCAGGGGTGTAGCCAATGATCCTGGAGGTGGCAGAAGTGCACGTGAGTGTGCACGGGTATGCAAAGGAACGTGAGCGTACCTATGCATGTTGTGAGTGTGTGCGCAAGGGTGTGTGTGTATGCAAGTGTGTGCATACATGGGAGGGGTGTGTGCGTCTGTGTGCACGAGCGCGTGCATGTGAGTGTGGATGCGCAGGCAGACAACGTGTGTGCATGCTGAGTAGAGCTCCCTGGGAGGAGAGCCCGCCCAGAGTGCCTTGAGGTCCGGCGGTGCCTCAGATCAGCCTGTTATCTTCAGGCCCTGCCTCAGGCGTCTCTTCCCTCCCTCTGGCCGAGGAAGAAGGATGGGGGTGTAGATAGTGCATTACGGGACGCAGCACAGAGACCTCATCCTCGGGGTCCAGCGTGAGCCGCACGGAACGGAGCCCGCAGCCCAATTAACAACCAATTATAACAACTCTATAATACAATAAAAAAACCCAATTAGCAGCCAATCATCGAGTTCCCTTTACCCGCCCCAATGACCTCATCTGATAATAATAGTGACTAGCATTTATTACACTCTTACTACCCGCTGGACACTGAAAGCCCTTTATACACATGATCCAGTTCCCAAGCCGTAAGTAAGGCTTCGTTTTAACCCCATTTGGCAGATTGGAAAGCCAAGGCTCAGAGCGCTGAAAAGGAAGGAGTCCAATGCCGCACAGCCAGTAAGCGTGAGACTCAAGTCCTGGTCTGTCTTATTCCAGGTCCTAAGAATTCCGCATGCAAGCTCCTTAAGAGGCCGAGTCCTCCCAAGATAGCTCGCGGGTCCCCGGAGCGGGGAGGCAACGCGCAACGAGTCGCGGTGTCCCTCGGCCCAGGGCCCTGCCTCCCGCAGCCCTGCCCCGGCACCTGTAGGTGATCTGGTTCTTGTCCCACTTGGGCTTGCGGGGGAAGAAATTGTAGTTGGCCACGTCGGGGTTGCCGCAGCGCGGCTTCCGCATGGTCTCGATGGTGCCCTGGTCCAGTTCACCCGTCTGGGGCAGCCCGAAGAACTTCTGCATCTTCCTCAGCGTGTCCTTCAGCACGAACAGGTTGCAACTCTCCTTGGGGCAGCCATAGAAGGTGTTCAGGTATTGCTGGAAGAAGTAAGCACCCCGGCACAGGCAGCCACGTTAGGATGGCAGAGTACTGATCAAAGGAGTCAGGGACCCAAGGGCACTGGGCGGAGTCCCAGGTTCCCAAACCAGCTCTGTCACCCACTAGCCGAGTGACATAAAAGCCGTAGAGAGCACGGCTTGGGAGCACATGTTGAGTGCTTACTATGGGCCCAGGCACTAACGTCAGCTTGTGTTAACTCATTGAATGCTCACAGCAACTCGATCATGTAGACAGTCCATCATACAGGAGGAAACTAAAGCACAGAGAGGTTAAGAAACTTGCCTAAGATCACACAGCTCACAAATGGCAGAACTGAATTTGGACCCAAGCAAACTGGCTCCAGAGGCCAGGCTAAGAACTGTACCTCTCTACCGCCCCTCTATACCTCCATCACCTCTTTTAATCCACCAAACTGCTGATGACATAGGGATTACTTTCCTCACTTTTCTTTAAAGAGATTCAAGGGCTATGTGCCTGAGCTCTAGCAGCAGTCAGTCCTGGGTTCAAATCCTGAATCTGCCATTTCCCAGAAGAAAACAGTCCTGTCCTTCAGGTCCTGTGCAGCAGGCTCTGCCCAAACGGAGGCCAAAACCAAACAGGCCCCTGCAGGGCATCGGGGACCAATCAGCTCACTTATTTGTTGAACAAATACTTTTTGACACGTACCAGGTGCCAAGTCTGGTGCTAGTGCTGGGGGTCAAGTGGTCAGCACGACAGATGTTTCTAGTCTCTAGGGTTCAAATCCCAGTGTGGGGAGGCTGATGGACCACAAATAAGTGAAAAATTAAATATGGGATAGGAATGGTGGGAGAAATCAGGAGATCTCATTACTGGGGCCCTAACCTTGTTTGAGAGGGTAGTTGGGAAAGAAGGAATAAAGGGTATAATAATAATAATGATAATAACAATATAATGACTAATACTTATTGGGCACTTACCATGTCCCAGGTACCCTTCAAAGGGTCTAAGATTACCTCTCCTCGAACCCCAAGACAGGTACCATTATTACCCTCAGTTTACAGAAGCAGCTGAGAAAACTTAAGTCACTTGCCCAAGATTTACTAGGCCAGTTGATTCGTGCACCCCCAGATGTGAGGCCAGGCAGACTAAGTTCAAAGCCTGGCTTCTCAAGCCCCGGTCCCCACTGCATTGCCTCTGGGCACCATGGACTTCCATATGCTGTAGAAAGCATGGGGACCCAGGTAGCTTTGTCAGTGCTCCAAAGCTCCACCCTCCCCCTCAGCCATAGCCCCCTCATTATGCAGACCACCTCCAGACCCTTGAGAAAAATAGCCCCCTAAAAATGTAAGGTCTCCCAACCCATTTGTCCAGAGAAGGCAGGGACCTAGATGCTGGAAAGGGGGCAGGGGTGGTGTCACATCCAGAGAAGGGGCCCCCCAGGTGACCAGGGGGCACGAAGATCCTGTCCTGGGCAGTTCGGGGACCACGCTGAAGGAGAATAGGGGCTTTCTAAGGTGGCTGAAGCAATACGTGGCAGATGTCTTGTGCGCTGGAAAGAACATCTTGAGGGGTCCCCAGCCCGAGGCGCTTACAGGGCGAGGGGGAGTGTCCTTCAGCTGCCCGCATCTCTGCTTGTGCAATGTGGTGGCCTGGATGCCCCTCTGGCCAGGCGCGCGCGCCCCCGCGCGCGCGCTCGCAAAACAACATCTGAGCCGCAGCTCGGAGCCCCGCCAGGAGGGAGGGCTCCCTGGCCGCTCTCCGACCCCAGCCGGCCTCAGTCCGCCCCCGCCCCACGCGCCAGGGCCCTCGTGCCGCCCCTCCCTCCGCCCTGCCGGCCAATTCTCTCCTTCTGTCCTCCGACCCCTCTGGAGAAGTTCGAGGAAACTTTCTGAGGTCCAACCCTTGACCCTCCTTGACCAACTTGCTCATTGAGCCACTGGAAAAAGCGCTGTCCTCTTCCCTCCTGCCCCCAATACTTGCCAAAAGGTGCCGGGGAGCGGTTTGTCCAAGGCCCCTCTCCAGATGTGTACCAAAGGTTCCCAGGCGTTTGCCAAAGTTCCGCTTTGCCCAGAGCTCCCACCCTCACGTGTGCAAAAACGTATCCAAATTGTGTGCCAAAGGCCCCTCTTCTCTAAGTCCCACAGGGGTTTAAAGGATCCTCCACCGTTTGCAAGAGACCCCTTTAGGCTTTTTGCCAAAGGCCTAGCAGGACGCTGGCCAACGGCCTCGTTAGCCAACCCCCCAGATGTGTCCAAGAGATGTATACAAAGCCGCCCCCCTTTGCCAAATCCCGGATACTAGACCATGTCCTTACTATTTGCAAAGGGGGCCCGTTCCAGCGGTTTGCCAAAGCACCCCCCGCGCCCCCCGCTGTGTCCCGAAAGTTGCCGAATTGGGCTTCTACTCTTACCACAGCTCCCCACCCCCTCCTCCTGCGAACCAGACCACCCCATGCTGTTTGCTGAAGCCCCTCCCCCACGCTCTGTGCCCTCCGTGGGGATGGGGGAGGGGTGGCCCTTCCTCCACCTCCGAAGTTTGTCTAAACTCGGTTGGATGAGGCTCGCTTCGGAACTCACCACAGCCAACTCTTTGTCCGTTTTGGGGGCGACATCTCCAGGAAACTTGATGATGGGCGACGGCGCGGCGGTGGCGCGGCCCAACAGGCAGCCCAGGACGCAGAGCGCCCGCAGGGGGCCGGGGGGTGGCTGGCTCGGTGCGTGTGGCCGCGTCGCCGCCTGGCTGGCGCCTGCTCCTCCGCGCAGCGCTGCGCCCCCAGGGGCTGTTCGACTCGGTCTCCTCAGCTTTGCCCGGCTCAGCGGCGCATGGTCCGGCCCCCAGCCCTCGCCGCCGCCGCCAGCTCTCGCCGGTCCTGGCAAAGCCTTTGTATGTTTAAAGCCCCAGATGCGTAGCTCCAGCCACCGCCGGAGGAAGTCTGGATGCAGCGGAAACAAGGGAGGGCAGCCGCCAGATGTGGCCGGCTGGGCTGGGAGGGCGCTGGCAGTGCGGCGCCGAGTGGAGGGGGAGCGCTCAGGCCCGCCCCTCTCCGCCCCATTCTCCCTCTCGCCCTCCTCCTCTTTTCTCCTTTCTTTTCCTTTCTCCGCCTCTTTTCCCCTCAGCCAGAGCTTTGGGCCTCTGCGAGAACCATCGGTGCGGCGACCTTCCAACCTTTACTCCCCAATCCGGGCGCAAAACCTATGGAACCCCTGTTGGGAAACATCTGGCGCGACCACTCTAGACACTTGACGTCCTGCGGCTGGAGAGCAGCGGTTCTTGGAGGGACACGCGGCGGGGGGCCGGACGGCCTGCACTCCCAGGGGCGTAGGTCAGAGATGGGGAGGAAGGGTCAGGAACAGATGATCAGCTGCACCTGTAGATCGTCGGAGAAAGAGATTTTAGATGATTAGAGATGGAGACAGAGAGATAGGCAGAAATGGAAAGAGATACAGAGATGGAAACAAAGTGAAGGCCCCTCCTTCCTCACCTCCCTCCCTCCTTCCTTCCTTCCTTCCTTCTCCTTCCCCTCTTCTTCCTTCTATGACTGTTTAAGCATTTACTTGGCCTCAGGCATAATGCTAGGTGCTAGATAAACACTTGGAAACCCAGCAGTCCTGGTCTCTGTCCCTGAGGAATGTCCCCTTCCTCCCTCAGGAAGGAGAATTCATTAGGTGCTAAGCTGTGATGGGGAACTCCAGCAGGTGTGGGAACACCTGACCTCAGTCCCTAAACTAGTATAGGTGGTCAGGGAAGGCTCCCTGGAAGAAGGGACTTCTGGGCTGACACATGAAGAGCTACAAGACATGAGAGTATTGGGGTGGGGGGAGGGATGTGGAAGGCACAGTCTAAGGAACAACATTTACAAAGGTCCAGAGATGAAGGACAGCAAGATGCACTGGAGAAGGGCGCTCCCTCTATCTGAAAACTGGGAGGGAGGGGGGAGGGTGAGGAGACGGGACTGGGGGTCGGCAGGGACCGATCTGAGGAGAAAAGTCATGGGCTGAAAGGGTCAGCAACAATCTGCCTGCGAGGGCCTTGGGAGTCAGGGTGATGAATCTGGTCTGTATCATAAGAACCAGAAAAGCTTCTGCAGCTTGGGTGTCAGTAGGTTTCAGAGAAGAACAGCTTGCCTGGCAGGCATGTGCTGCTGGCTGGCCAGAAGTCAACCTGAAAGGCACCCCTTGGGAAGGACTTCGCTCCACAGGAGGAGCCCAGCCCATCATACTGACCCAGGGAGAAGCCTTGGCTATTTGGGGGAGGGTGAGTCTGAGGTCAGTGGGAGAGGGGGTTGCGTCCTGGCTAGGCCCCATTTGGCTCAGGTCCACATCCTCTGGATAACCAGAGAGCCAAGTTGGAGAGCAGAGAGCTAGGAGTGAAAATGGAAAAAGTTGTCTCACTGAAGCAGGGCTTACAAACTCGTGGCCTGTGGGCTGAATCCCGCCTGAACAGCACTTTGAAACTTGGAACACTTCATCTAAAAATCTGACTTTCTTTCAGAAATCCCCCCAAATCTGGCAATACTGGGTGCCAGTGTCCACATGGCAACAATTAGCTGAGGCACGTACTTTGGTTTGCCACAGTCCCCACCATTCTCTATTGCCTTGCCTGTGACTCAGCTCAGTTTTGCTCATTTACATCACTTGTCCCATTTGAGGTTTAACATTTTCCCGAAAACCTTTGTAAGACATTGGGCACTTCTGGCACAGGGCAGCTGTGACTGTGCCTCTTCACAATCTATGTAGTTTTGGCATTCCAAGGGCATTGGTGTCCAGTGTAGGTGCTTGGTGCCCATTTAGAGATCGTGACAGCTGCAGAAGCAGGTGTCCATTGTACCCAGAAGAGCAGTGGCAGTGCCCAGTAGTGACTAAGGCCCAGGGGACCAGGAGATCATAGGCAGTATCTAGTGGAAATGAACTTGTCGGTGAGTGCATGCGATACACTCCAGGACCCCTGTGTATCCCTTTAGCTCTCTCTTCCTTGGCAACCTGCCATGGTCACTCTGGGAGCCACGGTAACCCTGGGAGCCCCATGGTGATGTGGCAAGAACCACAAAATGAAAGCAACCAGTCCCACTGTAGACTTGGTAAGTGGAAAAAGAAACTTTGACAAAATACTATAAACCACTGACATCTGGGGATACAGTTGGTATTGCAGCATCTTTCAGCCAATACTAGCACAGGTAAAAATTGTGGGCCCCCCCCAAAAGGTATGTTCTACTCCTAACCGCCAGTACCTGTAAATGTGCCCTCATTTGGAAATAGAGTCTTTGCAGATATCACCAAGTTAAGATGAGGTCATACTGGATTAGGGTGGGCCCTAATCCAATGACTGGTGTCCTTATAAGAGAAGAAATCTGCACACAGAGACACACATGTGACCATGGAGGCAGAGTTTGAAGTGACACAGCTGCAAGACAAGGAATCCCAAGGACTGACAGGAGCCCCAGAAGTTGGGAGAGACGAGGAAGCATTTTTCTCTAGAGCCTTTGGAGAGAGCATGGGTCTGACACCACCTTGATTTTGGACTTCTAGCCTCCAGAATTATGATAGAATAAATTTCTGACGTTTTAAACCACCCAGTTTGTGCTACTTGGTTACAGCAGCCCTAAGAAATTAATACAGGCTTCAATTAAGTGACACAAAGATATGACATCAGTTTCTGCCATGCACTCATTTATTCATTCATTCATTCAGGAAAACTTTAATGAACACTGTTCCAGGTGCTGGGGTACAGCAGCATCAAGATAAAATTTGTATTGATGAAGAGGGAAAACAAGGATGGGAGATACCAAACATGAGGAGACTGGGCCCTGGGGGAGTAGTGGCCATCTGTTGTTTATTGCTTCCCAAGATCCTGTCCTCCTCCTTTTGGTAGCGGCCCCTTAATTTTCCTTTGAGGAAACCTCCTCTAGCCAATTCTTGGTCTATGAGGTTCAGTGGATGTGACCTACCTCCTGGATCGTGGGTCCATGTGACCCAGGCCTGGCTAAAAAGCAGATCCAATGTCTCTGGCTAGATGATGGTCCAGAAGGAGGCTTATGAGTCCATTGGAGCCCATGAAAAGTAATTCTGGGACATTCACTGGAGGTATTTGGGTTGTAGCCTACCCTTTCAGCTATAAACGGTATGATGCAATGGTGGAGGAGCCCTTAAGGACAGAGGCTTCCTGAGATTGAAACTACACCAAAGAGAACAGAAATGGTGATGCTGAGCTCCTGCTGGCATCGGCTGAACTCCTGGATCCAGCCCTGCCTGCAGCCAAAGTATCCTGAGCTTTTTAGTTTGTGAGTCAATATAGCCTCTCCTCCTAACTTTGTATGTGGTTTGTTTGTTTTTTGCTTAAGTCTGTTTGAGTTGAGTTTCAGTTGCTTGCAACCTGAGATTCCTGACTGATACAGTGAAAGACTTAGCTGAGAAATCGGCACCGGTCAGACCCTCCGCCTGAGGTCACAGCCCTCCCTCATTTTGTCTCTGTCTCTGGTCCCAGGGACATCTGAGAAGCAGTCCTGGGGGCACAGGAGTGTGCCAACACACTCCATCCTAGAGGAGCATAGCAGGACCTTCTCTGGGGCCAGGGAACCCCGGGTACCTTTTGGTTTCCTGCTGGGACCCCAACCCTAGGCCCAGGCCTATAGATTCCAAGCCATGTCCTCTCCACACAGTCAGGAGCCCAGGAGGGAGCAGATGGCACTCTTGGAGGAGGCTAATTCCAGGAGTGGTTAGTGAGGAAGGGATTAAATACAAAGTGTGTGGGTGGAAGGTAGCGGGGACTAATGGGCCAGAAGCAGGACCGTGATCATCTGGCCCAGAAGGTTGACTGGAGGGTGCAGTTATGGGAGAGCAGGTGCCTTTAGCGAAACGACAGCCCAAGAGACCTCCTGCCGAGGGATCCAGGAATAAACACGCTCCTTTGTTCTCTTCCTTCCCTCCGTCCTTTGCGGGGCTCCCCAGAGCGGGAGGAGCTGGCCCCAGCAGTCCAAGGGGGAGGGAGGTGGAGCGCCACCTGGAGGAGCAGATGGGAATTGACCAGCACGCCCGCCGTCTCCTCCCTCCTGCACTTTGTACCTGCAGCTACGCTGGCTTTCTCTCTGGTCCTGAAAGATGGCAACCCTCTTGTGACAGTCATAGATCTTCTTTCAAGGAAGAACATGCTGTTCAGTGGCAAAGAGTGCAGTGAGCTGACTGCCTACAGCTGTAGGAATCGGCCTGAGCTTTTGAGCCTACACCATGCTCGTTTGGCCAAAGCCCCAGAGGATGACTGAGCACATAGGGTACCAGGGCTCCAGAGCTCCCCTCTGGGGCCACTTGATCTTTTTGGAGGAGCTGTCTTGGAGGCTGAGACTCTCTGCCCCATCCTGCTTCCCACTCTTTTTCTTTCTCTGGTCTTATCCTCCAAAACTCCTTGAACTCCTGACCCCATCCCAGAATGTACTTCCTGGAGGACCCAACTGACATGCCTGTCCTCTTGGTCTGCAAGTCTTCTCATCTGTTAGGTCTCAGCTCAGATGCTGCCTCCCCAGGGAAGCCTTCCTTGACTGACCATCCACAGAAAGGATCCACCCCCTGTGTTTTTTCCTTCCAAGCAGCTACAACTGTCTTGAAACAATCTTGTTAACTTTAATTTCTTGTTTGATTATTGACTCCTGTGCTAGAATGTCAGCTGTGGCCCTAGTACCTGGAACAGGGTTTGCATATAGAAGG